ATGGGAGCCCGTGGCACTGGTCTGTCCCTCGGCCCCTTTCGCTGCCTCCTGTTCCTCAGCAGCGTGACCGGCACATAATGCCCACCACCCCTCCCCCCCGGGTCCCCAACAGCAGGACAGGAGCCCAGAGAGCAGGCCCGTCCCTCCCCACTCTCTGCCGCCCTCGCTGGCCTGAGCGCAGGCCCTCCACCAACGTTTGTACGATGTATCACCTGGGCGCACGCTTCGGGACACTGTGTTAATGTTTTGACTTCATTGCTACTTTTTCTCCCTTTCCTTTTAAAGGAATCCGTTTGGAAACCACAGCCGTGTGTCTCAGGCCCCGGCAGCGCCCCGCACTTCGGCACCTTAAAGGCTCTGAGAAGTTCTGCAACGGAACCTCCAGGCCGTGCTGCAGCGGGGCCTGAGCTCCCCCTTCCTGGCACTGGCTCCCGGTGCCACCCGGGGCCGGGGCCCCGCCCCTCCCCCACAGCCCTGGAGGGACCGAGCCCCACTGCTGGGGGCGGGGGGGGGGGGCGGCAAGCAGACGTTCTTCTAGGTGGCGTCCGTCTCGGGGTCAGCATGTGGGAACAAGGAGGGCAGAGCTGCTCCAGGCCAGGAACCGCGATGAGGGGGAGCCGGGACCCAGGGCAACTACGGCTGAGGGTCCAGGCAAAATTTGTCACCCAACTGGGGTAGACATGGAATTCAGAGACCCGCTGAGCAGGCAGAACTGGAACCCAAAGAGCCAAGCGTCGGAGCCCAGCTGCCTCCAGGGCACGTGGGTGGGGGGCCTCGCAGACCTGGGGAGCCCTTGTCACCGGGCGCCACTGCCCTGCCCAGCTGACACTTATTCTTTGGGTCACCTCCCGGTCACCGTGCTAAGTGGGTCTCGGAGGAATCCCAACACCGTTAGAAGCTTCCTGCCATTCTCTGCACGGGCACGCGCCTTCTGCTCATCCTGCACGGCCCCAGCGTCATCTCGCACACAGCGGTGTCTCCAGGCCACAGCGAAACGAGGAGGCCTCCCGGCGGCTGGTGGGCGGGGGCCGCCCTTGCGTCGCCCCAGCCCGACCACCGCGCGCTGTCCCTTGGCCGCAGAGAGCGTGGGCTGGGATAGGGAGAAGGTTCTGGAAGGGCTCGAGGGATGATGGAGAAATGAGGGAAGGGGAAGAGGCTAAGAAAGGGGGAGAGCGGAGGCAGAGCTGGAGAACCTGGCCGGGGCCCCTCTGCTGGACGGCAGGGCCGATCTCACGTGGGGACCCTTCGCCTGTGTCCCCACCCTCTGCGCCCTGCTTGGGGGCTGGGAGGGAGGACCCTGAGCCAGGCTGCAGCGCCAACGTCTGCAGGCATGCCGGCTGGGGGCAGGTGCGGGGGGCAGAGGCAGCCGCCCCAGACTCTCACCTGGCTCCCCAGGGGCTGGGGGCTCTCCCACCAGATCGCTCGGGGCAGGGAGGACACCTGAGCCCCGAGAGAGGGAGGCAGAGGGCAGGCTCGCGGCGAGAAGCCCTCTCCCAGCAGACGGGCATCTTGCCCACCTTCCCGTGCCGGCCCGGCCAGCGGCCAGCACTGACCACGCCCCTCGGCCCCCACCCCGCATTTCCTCCTGCTTGGGGTTCCAGCCTGTGTCCGAACACCCCGCCTTCTGGCCTCCCTGTCCATCCTCGCACAGATGCCCCGGGTGGCCCTGCGCTCCCCAACACAACGTTGGTGTCTGCTGGCCACCAGCCTCCCCGTGAGGCCTGAGGTCCTCATGGCAGGCACTGCCCTGCCGGGTCCCGCTGAGTCCCCAGTGCTTGGTGCAATGGAGCAAAAACTAAACGAATGAATGAGTGAGTGAACGAATGAATGAATGAGTCAACCAATGAATGAGTCAACCAATGAATGAGTGAGCAAACGCGTAGTGAAACTGAGCCAGTTCCAGCAGGACAATGAAAGAAGCAGCCATCCGTCCAGTCCAGCCCAGAAGCAGAAGTGTCCTGGGCGCCTTTGACCGTCACCCACACGTGTGTTCCATGGACGTCCCGGAGGCCATGGGGCAGGGCAGAACTCCAGAGCCAGAAGGAGAAAAGAGGGGGCCTCCCGCTGGCCCTCAGCCGGCCCAGCGGCGCCAAGCTCGGCCGCAGCTCTGGGGGCCAGTTCGCTCTGCCTGCGTCCTGTGGGGCGCCGCTCGGCTGTGGTCCGGGGCTCGTCCCGCCGCAGACAGACGCGGAGCAGCCCGCACGGCGGGGGCATCAGTCCCGGGCACTGCCCTGCCTGCCCCCATGGGTTACGGACTCAAAGAGAAGCCCGCGGTGCGGGTTTCCAGAATCGGTAATTCTCGTTCCTGCGTTAACCAGGTTCCTGCCGACGCGGGAAGGGCCGCCTGGCTCAGCTGTCACCCCGGGTGCCGTGTCCCGGGACGTCTTTCCCAACAGCCCCGAAGCCCCGCAGAGAACGTGGGAGAAGCCCCTGCTTCTTTAGCCGGGGAACCGCCCTGGAGCCATCCCCACAACTCACGGTGGAGCTGGGAGCGCAGAGGGGCCTCTGGCCGCCAGCCGGGGCCTGCGTGTGTGATGTCTATCCGCAAGCAGGCAGACGCTGCCCCGTGGGCCTGCCGGGCGGTCGCCGCGGCACGCGGACGAGCAGGACGCTCATGTCCCGCGCGGGGGCCTCGCGGGCTCCTCACGGGTGTGGCGTTTTCTTGGGAAACCTTACAAGTTTAATCCCCTCTGACAGACGAAGTGAGGATGCCCGAGGAGATTGTCACTCAATCTCCACTCGTCCTGTGACCTCTATCACCTGCTGGCGTTCAGTTAGGAACACAAACGAGTGGCCTTTGGTGAGCATGTTCCTGGCAGGACCAGCCCCCGCGCTTCTGTAACCCCAGACGAGGACCCTGTGTGGCACCCCCACCCTGGGCAAGACCGCAGGCTCCTGTCCAGCCCCCGGGGACCCCACGCCCTCCCCCACACGCTGGCACCCCGGCACGGGGGACACGTGAGCGCCCTGAGAGGCCAGACCCCGGGACTCCTCCCGGACCATTGAGACAAGCAGGTAAGAGCCAAGCGCATCAGTAAGTGAATCCTGCTCAAAAGTAGAACTTTTGAAAACAAACAACCAAGAAAGCCAAAGCCTCAAGTTCCGGCTACATGTTGTGACCCTGTCCCGTGGCGATCCTCTCCCGTGGGGACCCCGCACCATGGGGACCCCACCTATGGTCATCCCGCCCCCTGTCTCCTGGCGAATGTGACAGCCTGGACCCCCAAGGCCAGGCCCAGGGACTAGCCTCCCAGCCTGCGGAGGGCACCGGCCGAGGCCCCACCCTGTGCTGAGGGGCCCGGTGGGTTCCGGCCCACGTGCTGCGGCCCCACTCCGGCCGCTGGCCAGGGCAGAGCCGCCCCGTCCTTCACAGCCGACAGAGCTGCAGCGCGGCCAGAGCTCAGGCTCGGCCCCAGCGGAGCAGGCAGGGGAGGCTGGCGCGGCCTGGCCCCCGGGCCGTCCCACCCTCAGCCTCTGCTCTTGAAAACCCAGCATGGCCATCTCCACGGTGGGGAGGGGCCCGCCCGAGGGCCACGCTCCCCCTGCCCAGCCCTGGGATGGCCACCCCCAGACCCAAGAGGAACCGAGGGCCTGAGACCCCAGCCCGGGGCCCAGCCTCCCCCCACCACCCTGGGGACAGGGACACAGGCTTGACCACCCCCACCTGTGTCCCCCAACGCTGCGTCAGGGCTGCTGGAGCCAAGGAGCCGCTGTCGGCCGGGTGGGGAGCCCCTGCCCCGGCCCCGCGGAAGTGGGGGCCTGGCTTTGATGTCCGGCCTTGCACCCACTCAACAGGCCCCTTTGTTTTCCCAGCGCTGTGATCAGACTGCGGTGAGGGCAGCTGTCGGGCGGGCGCCCCCAGCCGGGCCGGGCCGCTGGCCGGCAGCCCCCCGCCCCGCCCCCGCCGTCCCTCCGCTGCTTCCTTCTCCTCCATCCTCCACTCCCTTCCAGGAGAGAATTATTCATTTCCTCTCCTGAGAAAACATCGCCATGTCCTGTCCCTTCCCCTTCTCCCCTGGAGTTCACGCCAGGTCGTCTTCGGCCCCCCCCGTTTTTTGTGTGAGGAGGACCCCAGGGGCCCCGAGGCCGCGCTGTGACGCGACCCCTGAGGTCCGTGTCCCGTGCCGGTCCCAGACGGCCCGCCGCGGGCTGCGCCTGGACATGCAAAGCGAGACCCCAGCCATGGATGCCATGTTGCTGCGCCAGGGGACACCAGACCTCGGGCTGACGTCCCGGGGAGGGACGCTGACCCCGCCGACCGGCCAGCCTCGCCAGCTGTCCATGGCCGTGAGCACCGTCCTGTCCCGAAGCAGAGGCTTCCCAACGGCCGGCCAGGACCAGCACCCCGATTCCAGCCCGGCTGCGCCCCTCGGAGCCTTGGCCTCCGCATGGGCCAGCCCTGGACGCGGGGGCCCCCCGCCTGCTGCGTCCACCAGGACGCGTTCTGGAGGCGGCGGGAGTCCCCTCGGCAGAGGGCAGACAGGCGGGGCCCGGGGCGTGGCGGGGGAGGCAGGACGGAGCGGCTCTCCTGCGTCCCGAGTCCGGCCCCAGGGCCCAGCCCGGCCCTTCTGGGGACAAAGTGGGTCCAGAGAGCGCAGGGGCGTGGCGGGGCAGGCGGGCGCGGGGTCACACTGCATGACCCTGACCCCGAGCCAGGCTCAGAGGTGCCTGAGACCCCTCGGACGGTGCCAGGCACCTGGCCGGCAGGCAGCCGCTCCCTCCTGGCCCTGCCCACACTGGCACTGGGGACGTCCGGTTCCTCTTCTCTTCTATCACTTGGTTCTAACAGCCTTCAGGGACATGTGGCCGGAGCGTGTGGCCCTGGATGTCACCCGTGCTCCTGTGACACGTCCCCCCGGGAGCAGGGCGTGGGGGCGGGGCTGCGTCCCGCTGGGGCAGGGCTGCGTCCCGCTGCGGCGGGGAGGGACAGTCCCGGGCACATGGTCTCTTCGAGGCAGATCTAGCGTCTGCAGGTGGCACAGGTGGGTGGGGACACTCACCGGAGAGGCAGCCCCGGTCGCCCGGCCGCTGGCTCCAGCCTGGGCAGCACCTGAGCACGGTCCGCGCCTCCGTGGTGTACACCTGCCTGTAGCTGGTGTAGTAGACGGTTCTAGAAAAGGAGGGAGAAGGGAGGTGCTGGGGGCACCCCGGCCGCGGCTCCGGCGCTCGCCACCCCCACCCACCCCCAGGCTGGTCCTCCGATGTCCCCGGCTCACAGCTGAGCATCGAGGCTCGGAGGTGCCAGGGTGCACGCCGCCCGGGAACCAGCAACAAGCCTTCCGCTGTGGGCAGGGCCCCAGCCCCCCGCAACCGGCCCCCACGGCGGCCCGGCTCCGGGTGGCTCAGGACGGGCCTCGGGCCGGCGCCTGGCTGTTAATGCGCAGTCTCGGAGGGCAGGGGCGGTCAGTCTCTCAGCGCCCGGCTGAGAGCAAGGCCAGTGTCCTGAATGGACGCGGTGGGCTCCAGGGGCCCAGGGCTGGGCGGCCGTGCCGTGGGCGGTGTCCGCTCAGACGCCAAGGCGCACCCAGGAGCCGGACTCAGGCCCCCCCCCCGGCGCATCCATGAGGAGGGCCCCTTCCCCACCCAAGGCGGGCGGCTCTGAGCTGGGGTGACCTGCGGGAAGCGGCCCAAGTAACAGGAGGACCCGGGAGCGTTCAGTACACGGCGCCGCGGCAGTGGGGCGCAGGCCGGAGGAGGGCTTCCTGAAGACAGGGGCGTCCGGGGGCCGGGGAGGCCCCTGTCCACACTGGCTCCTGCTCAGGCGGGGCAGGGCGGGGCGGGGCAGCCCCCGCAGAGGCTGAGAGCAAAGCCCGGCCCAGCGCGGGGCCGCGGGGGGTGGGCAGCCGGGCGAGCAGCACGGGCGGCCGGGGGGATGTGGGGCCCGAGCCGGCTCCCCAGGAGGACGGAGGGCCGTCGCCTGTCCGCTCCCCACACCCAGAGGTGGCCCCGACCACCTGCACCCAGAGGCCCCGCCGCCCAGGCGCTTGGGCCGCCCTCTGAGGGGCATCTGCCCAGCCCGCCCTGCGCCCGCCCACTGCTCCTGGCGTCCACGGCCCCGGGGCGGGCAGGGGTCCTGGCAGAACAGCCAGCGAGGGGCCGCCTCCCCGGCCCCTGGACTCCCCCTGCAGGCACAGGCCTGGCGCAGAAGCCAGCGTGGGAGGCGGAGGGTGCCTGGTCTGCCCGCCCCCCTACAGCACCCCATTCAGCGGCACCCCGCCCCGGCACTCCCAAACCCGGCTCCTCGTCAGCTGGGCCGCAGGCATGGGAAGCATCCCTTCCCCCGCCGTCCCCCGACAGTGGGTTCCAGAAGCCCAGCCTGCCCTCCCAGGAGCCGCCTCCTCCACACCCCTCCCCCTGCCCAAACAACCACCACCTGCCCCGGTGACCAAAAGACCGATGTCCACCTGCCCCCACCCCGGCCCCTCGCTGCCCGGGCCGGCTGAGCAGCACCCGCAATGCCCGGGCCCACCCAGCAGCGGGTCTTGGCAGGCGTCCTCGAGTTGAGATGAAGCCACCCGGGCTTAGGGTGGCCCTGCGCCCAACAACTGGAGTCCTTGTGGGAAGAGGGGAGTCTCGGCACCGACACAGGGACAACAGAGGGGCAGCGGAGGGACAACGGAGGTCGGCGTGAGGCAGCGACAAGCCCAGGGCCGCGACGGGTCAGCGGCTGCCCCAGACGCTCCGTCAGGGCCTCCAGAAGGAAAACCCCCCGCAGCTCGACGTCGGACTGCGGGCTGCCGGGACGGGGTCGCTGGCGCAGCCCGTCCGTCGGGATTTGTGACAGCAGTAACAGGAACGAACGAGGGCCCAGGCTCGGCCGTGCCCTCGGCCCCCTCGCTGGGAGGTCCTGTGTTCATGACAACAGACCGGCCACGCAGACGTGGGGGCGCAGGAGGGACGGGAGGGAGGAGGGGGCTGGCCGGGCCACCCGCAGCCTTCAGGCACAGCGACACGGCTCCCCAGCCCCCACCGCCATCTGTCGGGACAGTGACCCAGGCCTCGGCAAGCACTGGGTCCGGGACCTGGAGCCCCTGCGTGTGGCCGGAGCCCCTGGGCCGCCGTCTGTCCCCAGGGAACGAGACACCGTCCAGGCGCGCTGGGCTCAGCCCTCGGCGGCCGCGGAGACGGCCGCCACAGGGGACCCGGGCCCCGCGGCGGTCAGGCCGCTTCCAGGAAGCGGGCGCTGCACGCACCGCGCAAGCGGCCGGGGATCCACACACACCGTCCTGGCAGGACATGAAACCGCTTGCCTGCGGAGAAGCCGCCACAGCGGGACAGCTTTGGCAGAGCGGGCGTCTGGGCCGTCCACCGTAAATATTTATCCCTCTCCCGGGCTACGTGCGGCTCTTGCAGTCACTGGGAGACCCGTGGGACCGGGCCCATCTGCCACCCTCCCCTGCGTCCCCCCAAGCCAGAGACCCTCGGAGACGGCCGGTCAGCTGGTGGCCCCGCATTCCCCTGCAACTCCCATGGACGTCTCAAAGGGGCTCCGGCCGCCCCCGGGGAGCTGGGTCACGGCAGGGCCACTGTCACGGGAAGACGTGGCTGCCAGGCCAGGGCCCAGCCCCCCGCCCCTGCAGCCCCCTGGGAAGCCAGGCCACAGCACAGCAGAGCCTGGGCGTGGGCTGGTGGCAGGGCACAGCTGCGGGCTCTGAGCTCCAAGCCCCTCCCTGCCTCCCTCCCTCCCTTCTTCCTTCCTTCCTTCGTTCCTTCCTCCTGTGGATGGGGTGCACCCTCATGAGTTGGGCGGCCCCGGGGTGGCCCGTGTCGGCTGGCTGGAGGGTTCATGGGAAAAAGACCCCTAATGCGCTAGTAGGAGTGACGTGGAGGAGGAGGACTGGGCGCTTTTTCGGGCCAAAGAGGTGACAGGAGGGCAGGGGACTCGGAAGGGCTTTCCAGGAAGCCCAAGCCTCCCTGGGCCCTGAAGGAGGAGTCGGCAGGGCCAGCCGGCGAGGCCCTCGGGCTGCCACAGCCTTGGGGCCACCAGAGAACCATCAGGACAAGGCATTTGGAGAAGCCTCCCCCGTGGGGACAGAGATCTAGCTCAGGAGTCGTGGGAGGGGACAGGGCACCTCAACACACCAGCAGCCGCCCAGAAGGGAGGTGAGGCTGGGCGCCCCCACCCCCCCCGCTCGCTCGGTGTTGGTCTGAGCAAAGCTCCCGGGCTCCGATGGCCAGGGCCCAGCGGGGCTGAGGTGACTCCCTTCTCCCGCGGTGGCCGCTGGGCTGGGGCAGCCCCGTGAGGAGCCAGGTGGGTCCGGCGCCATCCCAGACCCAGGCCGGCCACGGGGCTGCCCCGCGCTCCCGGCCTCCCACGAACGGCTCCCCTGGACGGCTCCACGTGCAGGCGGCAGCCCTGTGTCCTTGAGCCGAGAGGTGCAAGAAGAGGAACCTGCTTTGTCTCCTGAGCCTTCCCGGGAAAGCCCAGCAGGGAGCAAGGGCCGCTCTCTGCCGCCCACACGGCACAGGCCGAGCCGCCGCAGTCCCCGCCTGCACGCGCTGGGCACAGGGCCTCCCGCACGGGGGCTCTCCCTCCAGCTGCCCGAGGCCCTTCGGAGGCCGGTGCTCCCGGCCTCTGGAAACACGGCTCCCGTCGGCCCAGCCGGAGTGCGGCCGCCCAGCCAGGGCCTCGCGGCAGCCCCGCCTCACACACGCAGCCCGGGCCCGGCCCCGCTGCTCCCTCGGTCGGTCACCCTCGCCACACCCCCAGTTGTTGGCAGGAGGGGGTGCAGCTGACGTGACCTCATCCTGTCTTGCACAGGTGTGGCGGCGGGGCCGGAAGGACACGCTGCGTGTGGAGCGCACACCTCGGGGGACACGGGAACGACCCCGGGCCCCGCGGCGCGTCCCTTGGGGTGGGGGCGCGCCCTGCGCCGTCGGGTGTCTGGCTGCCTCCCCGTCTCCACCTGCCAGCTCCCATATCTGTCTGTTCTCCCGGCCCACAGGTCACAAGGGACTGCCTCAGACGCCGCGGGGCCCCGGGGAGGGGGACGTGCAGTTAGAATGAGAGCGGCAGCCCAGGAGGCTGAAGGCAGGCGTCCCGAGCTCCTGGAGCCGGAGCCGGCCTCGCAGGCCCGCCCACCGCCCCCGCAGAAGGCCCATGCGGGCGACTCCCCCCAGACCTCCTGAGAAGCCGGGCCCCCGCACCCGCCGGAGGGCTCGCGGCCACCTCCCCCACCTGGCCAGCGCAGCCGCCAGCTTCCAGGCTGGGGCGTGGCCGGAGCGGAGCCCCCCGCCTGCCCCCAGCTCGGCAATCGGTTCCGGGATGGGAGTGTGAAGGGGAGAGGTATGCAAAGGCACTCCCTGCGTTTGGTTTTGAAATAAAATCTTGAGCAATAAAAGGTCTCACACAGGCATGGGCACGAGGCCCAGGGGTCAGGCAGCGAGCAGCAGGCTCCAGCCGGGGACGCGCGGGGTAGGCGCCCTGCTCTTCACCCTCTCCTGTGGCCCCGCAGGGTCCCCGCCTCCCTGCCAGGCCCTGCCCCACCTGCTCACGAAGGCCCCAGGGGCCAGCCGAGCAGGGCAGCCCTGTCCCAGCCTCAGGGCCTCGGCCAGGGGGCCCCGGCCGCCCTGATCCCGGGCATGCGTGCAGCCCCCGCTCCCGCTCGGGACCCACATACCTGCGCTCGCGGCTGAGGCACCACGCCTGCCGCCCGCAGCCCGGCCTCCACACGGGCACCGTCCGGCTGAAGGCCCGCACACAGGGCTGGCGGTGGCCCACCAGGGTCAGCTCCCGCTCGGCACACACGTGGGGCCTGGGGCAGAGGACAGTCCGTCAGCGCCCTGGCCACCCACGGCGGGCGCGCCCGCCCTCGGAGTCCAGGGGGTCAGCAGGAACAGGGACAGGGCTGACTTTAGTCAGTCTGACTCTGACCCTAGGTCCTTCCCCCTAGCCACCCGGCCTCAGGGGCATCCCCGGAGCCGCTCACCCTGGGGCACCCGGCCAAGCAGGCGCAAGCGAGGCATGGACGAGAGAGAGAGCATCCAGGGAGCGTGGCTGGGGTGTGGGGGCACTGCCCGATTCCGGGGGCCACCGTCCCTCAGCACCCCTGAGTGTTTCGACAGCGTGCCCACTCAGGAAGGATGCAGAGGTGATCAGGACGAGGAGGGGCCCTGCCTGCTCCGAAGGTGAGGGAGAGGGACCGGGGACAGGCCACACAGGGCGCTCTGGTTCAGGGACGGCACGGCCCCCACAGAGGCGGACGCAGGGAGGGAGGCCGAGGCCTCGCTGCCTCGTGAAGTTTGTGGAGCCAGCGGATTCCACGGGGCCTCCGAGGAAGACCCCTCCCCCGGCACGCAGCCAAGCTCTGGGCTCGCCCGCCCGGAGGAGCTCCCCGTCCAAGCTGGAGAGCCGCAGGCTGGCCTCCGGCCCGGCCCGGCCCCTCCCCCACTCCCACCTGAACCCGCGGCTCTGCCAGATGCCGCCGCACGGCCCTGGCTCCCTTTGCCTGCAGCCATCTGGCCTCCTTGCCCCCCTCCCGCCCCCACCCGTCGGCTGGTCTGCGGCTGCCTGGCCCTCCTGGGATCAGTACGCGAGACTCCTGCCCGCTCCATCCAACCACCCTGACACGGGCCCAGCCGCGCGTGTGCAACACACGCACAAACACGCAAGTGCGCAGGCATTCGCAAGCACGCGCCTGCATGCACTCACAAGTACTCGAGCACACACATGCACACGGGCATGCACGCACATCCTCGCCCTCTGGCTCCAGGTGGTTGGGGTCAATGGGAAGCCCTGCAAGATGCTCGGAGGGAGAAAGACGAGGGGGCATTTGTCCGCCCTCCCCGCCTCCCGCCAGGACAGTTTGGTGGGGCTGCAACCCTCACACCCAGCCCCAGCTCGGGCAGCGGCCTCCAGCTGGGTGTTGTCTGGGTTCCAAAGGGCCCCCGGTGCCTCTCCCCCTGGGGGGACGTCGCCCCGCCGCGGAGGCCACCCTGACCCCCCGCCCCGGGCCTCGGTCCCACGAGAAGGGAGAGAGCCCGGCACTGGCCGCGCAGACGGCCGTGAGAGAGACGCGCGCCGAGCCAGCGGAGGCCCGGGCGGGGCGGCTGCTGTCCCTGTCGGTGCCGGGGCCCCGCAGCAGGGGGGGGGCCCAGGCACCTCTGTGCCCTCTGCACACTGACACCAGCCCAGGGGAGCTGCTACAGGTGCTCCGTCACCTCTGCTCCAGGTTCCCCGGCCCACGCCTGCGCCCAGCCGTGCATGCCGACTCCCAGCTTCCTCAGGAAACAGTGGGAGGGGAGGGGAGGGTGCCAGGGGCAAGGGACTCAGGCCCGGTGACCTCTGAGCGTCCTGGCTGAGGGCCCAGCCCTGACCCTCCAGCGCCCTGTGCCATGGGCAGCCTCCGCAAGCGGCTCTGCCATCGTCTGAGGAGGAGGTGACGCCGAGGGGGACAGTGATGAGCATGGGCTTCGGAACCAACAGCCCAGGCCTGGGCCGCCCGCAGCCGGGGGCCGCTGACCTTCTGGTGGCACCTGCAAGGGCCACGACGGCTGCCAAGGGCCTCCAGCGTGGCCGTCGAGTCTGCAGCCTGGCACAGGCCCCGGCTCGGGGACGGTCCCTGTGGGGCTGGGCCCCAGGGCCCCACATCCCCCGGGACGTCACAACCGTCCCCTCATGCCGACCCAAGCTCCCCACACAGGATGCCAGCGTCGGGGTGTCGGGACCTCGGGGAGGTGACCCGCAGAGCACAGGTTCCAGGGCGCAGGGGGCGGGGGCTGCAGGAGGGACTGGCCCGTGGCAGCAGGCGGAGAAGCGCCCCCAGGGTGGGGCAGGAGCCCCGCGGAGCTGGGTGCTGCCCTCTGAGGGCCCCTCCCTCTGGGTCCTGCACAAACCTCGGCCCCGGGGGCCGCTGCCCGTCGTGAGGTGGCCACGCCGAGGGTGCCAGCAGCCCCTCGGGCACATCTGCTCTGGGCGCTCCCCCACCCCTGACCACGTGTCCCCTTGCCCCGAGACACCTGCCTGGCTCTGCTCTCCAGGAGGCCCCTCCAAGCCTGCGGCGCCCCCCGCTTCCCTCACATGCAGGGCCTGCCCCTCTCCACGCCCCTGAAAACGGGGGGCCTCCGACCTGGGTGGCTCCTCGTCACTGCAGGGAGGAGGGGGGTGCCCTGGAATCGCTCCCCCTCCGGGAGCCCCTCAGAAGCACAAGTCAGCGGCTTCCCCGCTGCGGGGAGACGGGGGAAGAGGGATGGGCAGGGTGGAGGAGGGGACAGAGACTGGACCCTCGCCCCATGCACGTCACAGGTCGGAGAGGCGCCTGGTAGCCCCCCAGGGTGGGGGAGGAGGAAGCGCAGACCTCCCGTGCCTTGCAGCGGGGTCCTGCTTCCCATCGGGGGCAGGGAAGGTGGTCTCAAACTGCACGGTGAGCCCAGCTCCACGCAAGGGGGTCCCTCCAGGGCCCCTGGACAGGCTCGTGGAGGCTGGCGACCTTTGCCTGGCGCCGGAGCGTACAAGACCTGTCCCTCTGGGGTGTGTGGCTCCAGGCCCCTAGACCCCAGGATGAAGGCACCAGGGCAAGGGTGTGAGGAAGGGACACCGAGGGCAGGAGGCTGGGCCACCAGCCTCCTGCAGTTGGGACCCCTGGCTGCGCGCCCTCGCCAGGGGACGGCCGGGGGCGGGGGGCCGAGAAGCATCTCCATCACGTCTGCACTCACAGCCTCTGCCCTGGCCCTCAGGGCTCGCCTCTGAGCCTGCCTCCCCAGCCTGGGGGCAGTCGGTGCTAGCGCTCTGGGGAGGCGGGTCCAGTTCCATCTCTGGGGCCATGAGGGTCTGAGGGTCACAGCAAGAGCTGCTTGTGAGCCCGGGCTTGAGCGCGGAGGGCCCGTCCCTCCCCGGACAGGCGGGGCCAGCGCAACCAGTGTCTTCCCAGCGGGGCTGCCTGAGGGGACGCCAGCCTCAGGGCGGGCAGACGTCTTCCCTCGTTCCGCCGCCGGCCATGCCCCCTGGGACCCGCCACGGGTCAGACAGGCCGGGCGCTGAGGAGGCAGAGGACAGCGGAAGGGGTGCTCACAGGCACCACGGAACACAATGGGCCGGGGCAATCTCAGAACCGAGCCTCCAGCGGCTCTGCCCCAGAGTGAGGTGGGGGGCAGCCACCCTGCCTGGTGGGAGGCTCCCGAGGAGGAGCCCAGGGTCTGAAGCCCAGGAGGGAGCGGGGCAGAGGACGCGGGACCAGCGTGAAGCATGAGGAGACCGAGGTCTCCTGCAATCCGTAGCCCCCGGCTGGACAGGCCTTCCCGGATGCTGAGGGTTCCTGGAGGCCCTAGGTGAGCAGGTGACATCGCCGGCACTCAGGGAAGGGGGCCCAGGAAGGGCGACTTGCAGGCTCCCCGAGCGCCCAGGGCGAACGGAGCCCGCGGAGCCCGCCCACCCTGACCAGCTCCCGGGAATTCCCAGGAGCACGCAGGCGAGTGGCCCGGGCCGCCGTGGTCATCCCCTCTGAGGCCACAGCGTCCCTGGGAGAAACTAATCACAGGGGTCACGGGAAAGAGGGCGGTCCGGCAGAAGTCCCCGGGGGTGTTGGGACTCAGGCCGCTCTCATTTCTGGACACCAAGTCCTCCAACCCAGAGGCTGTGCTCCTCGGAAAAGACCACAAGGAATCCTCCTTCTTGGAGCAAAGCAAGACCCAGGGTGAGGGTCTGGGGATTGTGGACTCGCCCCGGCCCTGCCCACCTGGAAGCCTGTCCTGTCCGGCCAGGTGCACCAGGCCTTCCGAGGCAGCGCTGGACAGGAGGGCCTACCCCGAGCCTGGGCTGCTCGCCCACCCCTCTGCAGCCCCCTAGCAGCCTCCCCAAGCTTGGCAGGCCTGGCGCCCTGCTGCGGGCGCGGGAGTGGGGGCAGCCGGCGGGCTCCCCTCCCCCTCCTCCAGATCGGCTCACTTGGGCACCAGTTTCCCTTTGAGACCAACAGAAGGATCAATTTGCTGTTTCAGAGAGACCGCTAAGCGGCCGGCGGGGAGTCATCTTTCAGAATTAAGTCCATCTCAGCGGGCCCCCTGACCCTCTCTTCCTGCCCGTTCTGGGGCTGAATTCCGCCTCCTGTCTCTCAGCTCTGGAGCGCACGTGTTTAACACATAAACCACCTCTGCGTGGCCCCCTGTCTGGGCGCAGCCCGCCCCTGCACAGGCCCCCAGGCCCCGGGAGACAGGCGTTGGAAGGAAGTGGAAACTGGCTGCTTCCTTTCTGCCTTCTCCGAGCCGGGCTCCCTGGGCGGACCCTGCCTGGCCTGGACCCAGATTCCCTCACCTCGGGGCCGAAGCGCAGCATCCGCCTTCGCTTGCAACCCCCCGCTACAGAGTGAAGGGAGCCGAGGAAGGGGAGCGGGAGAGGCCGCGGAGGGGCCCCACCCCCAGCCCTGGAACCTTGTCTCAGCCTCCTCCTCCCCAGTTGCGGCAAACAGCCCGCTGTTCGCAGGGCCCCGGGGACAAAGCCTCCCAGGGGGCCGGGGCTCCGGACGTCCGGCCGCCCTCCCGCTCTCGCTACTCACATGCTGGGCTGCAGGCGGGACAGGGCGCCGGCGCCCGCTGGCCCGGAGGGGAGCAGCAGCACTAGGGCAAGGGCCACCGCGCGCCCCGCAGCCGTCGCCTCTGAAAGGTCAGGCATCGCGCCCGTGGCCCCGCGCCGGGTCCCTCCTTCGGTGCCTGGCTCACAGGCCGCCCCGGCGAGCCCTCCGAGCCGCCGCCGCCACGTGCGCCATAGCCCGGCGCGGGGGGACGAGGAGCGCAGCCACAGGTGACCGCCCCGAAGCTGCCAGGCCGGAGGTCGCTGCAGGTGCGGAAGGACCGGCGTCTCGCCCTGTCCCCGGAGGCAGCCGAGACCTGCGCGCCGGGTCCACCCAGGCACCGGAGCCCTGCGCGCGCCCAGCCCCAAGCGCCGAGGGCCGGCCCGCCTTCGCCCCGCCCCCCGGCGGGACCCCAGACCCGACCCCGCCTTAGGCCACGCCCCCGACACGCCCCGGCCAGCCCTGTCCCCGCCCCCGCCCTTCCCACAACCCCGCCCGGGTCCTCATCCTAGCCCAGCGCTCGACCTGGCGCGCGCAGCCTACTCGCGCTCCCCGCGCTTCGGCGTCTGAAAGTCCCCGGTCCCGGGAGATCCAAGAGACCAGGCCCCGCGGGGCAAGCCGCCAGGGACACGCCCCTCGATCTGGGCACAGGCTGCTTCTGCGGACCCGGGACCCCAGACCTCGCCCTCGGGGCAGCCCTCGGCCCGCCGTCCCGCTGAAGTCCCGAGGAAACCGGCCTGGGTCTCCTCCCAGCGGAGGCTCCGGGCGCCGTCCTGCGGGGCACCTCGCGCCTCCGTCGCCTGTGGTCTGGGTTGGGGCGCCCTGCTCCCCAGCATTGTCCTGAGGCAGGGCCCTCTCTTTTAGACCTGGTTTTGGTTTGGAATTCACTTACTGCAAGGGCGCACCAGGCGCTCCGTGGTCCCAGGGCTGCGGAGGGAGAGGCAGTCCGGGCGGGACCAGATGCGAGACCAGGAGTTGGGCGCCCCCTGAGTCACAGGCGGCTGCAAGGAGCCCGCGCTCCCTCTAGGCCCAGCCGCAGGTCCCACGACGGGCGGCCTCTCCAGCACTGCAGGTGGCCCCCGTGACGGGAAAGGCTCCGGAGCCCCCACCCCATGCAGAGCCCTGGAGCCCTGGCTGGGCGGCGCTCAGGGGGCCGCGGGGCCCCGCTGTCCGGGCGCAGGGGGAACTCAGCAGTGTCCCCGACTCCCTGAGCCCTCCACCCGGCCGAAGGTTACAGTCATATCAACCGGCCAGGGGCCTGGCGGAGGTGGGGGAGCTGCTGTCACCCTGCTTGCAGACGGGAACCTGAAGTCCGGAGGAGGCAACACCCCCCAGTGGCCCAGCTGGTAAACTGCAGGCCTGGGAACGGAGCCCTGGGCCCGGCTCTGGGGCCCTTCGCTGAGCGCCCTGCTCTGCGGCTCCCTGTGAATCTACGACATGCACTGACGCGTATGGAGGGGATGGAGGTCCAGCGCATCCGACTCCTGGGTCGGGGGTGGGTCTCGGTCAGCTCAGGCTCCCGACAAAATGCCACAGCGGCCAGCTGTTCCCACCTTCCTGGAGACCGGGAGTCCCAGGTCCGGAGCAGGGCAGTCTGCTCCCTGGGAAGGGCCGCCCTCCTGGCCCCCAGGTGGCTGCCTTCTTGTTGTGTGCCCACGTGGCAAAGAGAGAGGGAGACAGGGAGACACAGGGACAGGGAGGTAGAGAGAAGGACAGAGAGACAGGCGGGGAGACAGAGAAGGCTGGGGTCGCGCCCCTCACAAGGCGCCGCCCTGTAAGGTCAGGGCCCGCCCCTAGGACTCAGTTGGCCGTATCACCTCTCAGGGGTTGGGGCTTCAACTTGTGGGTTTTGGGCCACACCGTGCAGCCCACAGCAGGGTGGCTGCACTGTCTTCTGACGCCCCGCGCGCAGGCCTGCGTCCCGGCCCGCGGACGCCCCACGCTCGGCCTCGTGCGCCCGCCCTGCTCAATCTTGCTCCTCGGTCCGGCTGGGACCACGGCCGCAGGGCCGGCCCACACCGGGCCCCAGCCCCGCGCTCCCCTGGGCTCCCTGCGCCTCATCGGCCCAGAACCTGCCCTGAGAGGGCCTCTGAGGGCCCCCGTCCAGCGCCGGCCCGGGCTTGTGCAGGTAGGCGGGTGGCGGCCCCCGCCCGGGCGCCCAGCCCCTCTGCCAGAGACACGCCTGGTGCTCACGGAGTGTGGGGGGTGGGGTGGGGAGTGAGCACCAGCTTCTCTGCCCGCTCTGCCCCGCCCCCGCCCCCGCCCGCGGGCTGAGGGTGACCCATCATTCAGCGAATTCTCCAGCTTCTCAGGGGAAAAAATGGGGTGGGCCCACATGTGGGGGGTTAAATTGGAGGCCACTGGGCAGGGGGATCCATGTTTCGTGGGGCCCAAAACATACAAAATTGGGGGCCCTCTTCTAGAAAAGCAATGTAACATCGTTTACTTTGCTGACTTACAAAAATACATGGCCTGTGCACACACCCCCCTCCCCCCAACTTGGAAGCACCCCGAAAGCACAGGCTCTATCAGCATCACCGGCTGCTGTCCTGGGCGCCACGCCAGCCCCTATGTGAACAGCTCTGAGGCAGGTGGGTGGGCTGGGGGTGGCACCTCCTGTTGGAGGTCCCCTGCCCCCCCCCACTCACTCAGTAAGTCTGCGGCCTGCCCGCCACCCCAGACGGAGCCCCATTCCTAGGCACAGGTCTGAGGAACGAACCCCCTAAAGCGAAGCCCCTGGCAAAGACTGTCCGGAGCCCCGCTGCCCGCCGGGTACCCCCACGTCCACTCTGCCCAGCCTGTTAATCCAGTTAAGTGCCCGTGTGTCTTCCCTCACAGACCAGACGGCCGACCGGCCAGCAGGGGGCGCTCTGACTATGTATTTGAAACGAATGATCAAACCCCACACGTGGGTTTACACCTTTATCAACAGATTTAACTCAAGTAAGTTTTCATTCACAGAAACCCACCGAGGTAGAACACAGTACATATTCCCTGAGAGCGCCCATCCGTGCCCATTTTCGTAATAAAGGGACAGCGTGTGGGCCACCGCCAACGCCTTCCCGGCCTGCTTCTGGAGGACGCAGGCTTCTGCTTCTGTTTATTCAAACGTATCGTTTTTCACTCTGCAGTTTCCTGTGTCGCTTAGGAAGAGGCGGTCGGCTCGGGGAACCGACGACTGCGTTTGCCCTTCTTCCTGGCCTTTGGTGCCTGCGGCCGCCTTGCACGGACTCGCCCTGCCGAGTGCTGGCCCGGGGCCAGGTGTGTGCCCTCGGGTCAGCGGGCCGGCCTGCTGCTGCGCCGCCGCGGCTCGGGGCTGCTTCCTTGGACTCTCGCTCCAGCCCGACGCGGGCAGGCTCTGTGCCGGGCAGCCCCGGAGCGAGACCGAGGCGCGCCGCGCCGCTCTGGCGGCGGCGCACTGATGACCAACAGGGGGCGCCTCCCCTGACAAACCGCACCGGTGGTTCCCGCCCTTCATTCCTCCGGACGGACGCTGGCTTCCCTTTATCCAGTTCCTCCGGAGTCGCACTGCGCTATTGATCGGAATAGCACCAAACATATCCATTAATCCCAGAAGTACTGACATCGTCTCAATAATCCAACTCTGAGAAGGTCCAGCGGCTCTCTGGGTGCAGCCGCGCTGCGGGGCACTGCCCCCGGTGTAGGGTGGCGGGGCGGAAGCCTTGGGGTCCCCACGGGGCTTCCGTAGATCCAAGACACCCATCAGGTCAAAACTGGAGCTCCGGAGCGGGTGCTGGCCCCCCTCGGGTCTCAAGTCCCAGCCCAGATCCCCACCCCGAAGCCTCAGGCCAAGCTGTAGCAAGATGTCCCCATTCTGCCTTGGGACTGGCTGAGGGACCTACGGGGCACAGACGCGGCTGAGCCCTCGCCGTCGCCTGCTCGTGGAGGGCGGGGCACCAAGTAGAAGCCAGAGCCTGAATAGTGCATCCCTCACTCAAAAGAAAGGCAAGCAGCCTGCAGGGGCGCCTCCCCCCTGCCCCCCCCCCTGCCTCCCCCAATCGCAGGCCGCAATGCGCAATGCGAGGGGGAAGGAGACAGGCTTTGCATTCCCAACAGGGAGGGCCCCTGCGACCTCCCTGGGAGGCAGGTTTTCTTCTCACCCAGCAACACGCTGGCCAATGGGAAACGTTGGCTCCCTGGCCTCCCCTGTCGCCCCTGGGTGCCCGGTCCCCTTCCTCTGTGCACACGGCCCCTCCCCTCAGTCTCCTGCCCTTGCCCGCAGCTGCTGCTGTCCCGCGCTTGTCCCGAGTGGCAACTCTCGGCTGTTCCCGCGCACACCCATGCTTGCTGATAAGAATAGCTGGCTGTTTTGTTTTTACAATCAACGGTACGCACCCCACGCGGGCCAGGAAGAGAGCCCTGAGCAGCAGCAGGCGCCACACATGGGAGCCAGAAGTCGACAGCGGCCTGGCCGGCGGCTCTGCCGCCCTCTTTCTCGCTCCCATCACACGCCTGCCCCGGACCCGGAGGTAGCGCACAAGCCCGCTGGCGGTGCCTGGTGGCCTCTTGGGTCGCACGTGGAGGCTGGCTTGGTTCGGAGCCTCGCGCAGGTGGCTATGAGAACACGTGTCCCTTCCACATCTGGCAAACCGCCACGCTAGCTTGCGTGAAAGGCATTTTTTAAAAGATACTGCTTTTCAATGTTTTTGCCTTATTCTCTGCTGGAAGTAATAAATAGCCTTGGCCGAGGGACTGCTTACGTGGGGAGGAGGAAGCACCGCCGCCAGCTTGGGCCGTCGTTGCCAAAGCCCCCCCGCCCCCCCCCCCGCCCTCCCACAGCCAGGCCACTGCGGCTGCGAGGTCCGGGTCGCACCCCAGAGTGGAGCGCGGGAGAGAGAGGGCCGCACAGGCAGGTCGGCACAGCCTCCTGCAGCCCCCTGACCCGACACTGGGCCGCACTCCTGGCCCGAGCAGGGCTGATGACCAAGGCGTGTTCAGGGCCTCAGACCAGAGGGCCTCCTGCCTGTGGGGCCGCGGCCCAGGGGTCTGCCCCGTCCAGAGAGGGAGGGAGCCCCTCCAGCTTCCCCACATGGCCCCCAGCATCACTCTGGCTGAGCCGCAGCCAGCACAGCCGCCCGATCCACAAGGCACCGTCCAGCCTGGACGCGGGCCTGGGGCCTGCTGAGCCCGCGGCCAGCTCCGCCAAGGCAGCGGGAGCCGGGCCGAGAGGCAGCTTCTTCGGAAGGCGGGCTCGCTCGCAGGCCCTGCGGACGGGAGGAAGCCGCAGGCCGCACCTTACCCTGCAGCCCCGGGGGCTGCCCCAGCACCGCCCCAGCCCCCCGCTGCTCTGGGGGTCCTGCTTGGCAGGGGCGGGGCCCTCCGGGCCCCCACTCCACTTCCATCAGAGACATATGTCCAAGGGGGGACCCACTGATTCTGTAAGACGCTGGCACCTGGGCGGGAGAGGAGGCGGCCCGCCTCCCCTGAGACTTCGGTCGTCCTGGGGAGGGGAGGGCAAGGGCTGCCTCTCGGGCTCGAGCTCGCCCGGCTCGGCCGCCCCGCCGCGGCTCGGTGTGGGCAACCCTGCCACCTGCTGGCGGCAGTGGGAACAGCCTTTCAAAAGCGTCAGGAAAGAAGCGCCCAAAAGGCAGGGGCCCAGCTCCAGAGGACCCCACAAGTCACAGCCCTCGCCCCTCCCGCAGGACCAACGTGCGCATGTGCAGAGGGTCCTGGTTTGCACGGGCGGTACCATCTGTTCCAGGAGAACGGTGTCCCCAAAAGACACACCCAAGACCTGCCCCCTGGCGCCCAAACATGTGAATGTGAGTGAAAGACTATGTGGAAATGGGGTCTTTGCAGGTGTAAGGAGGTGAGGTGAGGGCACTGGGGTGGGTCACATCCACCACGACTGGTGTCCCCGTGAGAGGAGACAGCGGCACGGGGAGGGGACAGCCACGGGGCCCTGGAGGCGGAGGCTAGGGGTGCGGCCGCGAGCGCAGGGACACCAGGTCTGCTGGCCACCCCAGAGGCGGGAGGGGCCAGAGCAGAGTTCCCCTGACAGGTTGCAGAGGGAGCGCGGCCCTGGGGACACCGCTGGGGGGCCTCGGACTCCTGGCCCCCAGACTGAGACAGAAAGTCCCTGCTGCTTTAAGCCCCCAGGGCTGGTGCTTGGGCGGTGGCAGCCCTGGGGAACCTGAGCGCCACCCAACCACCAAGCACCTAATACCGGCCCGTCAGGCCCCGCGCCGTTTCTCGAGGTCCCGGACCCCCCTGGTCAGCATCCTCACCGCCAGGCCCCCTCCTGTCAGCTCCCTGGGACCGCGGGGCCCCGTCTCACTGATCCTGGGTGGCGCCCGCTCGGAGGGTCCCCGGGGAGCCAGGAGGGCCTCTCCTCGCTCCTGTCCCCATGCCCCAGCAGCACCCGGTGCCCCCGCCTCCGTCCACCCCACCAGGCCCGTGCGCTGTGCGTGTTAGCACGCCCCAGTCTCATGTCTGGGAAGCGTGAAGGCTTCCCTTCATGCTTTCTAGATAAAGAGAAGAGTGGGCAGGTTAATGGCACTCCGTGTGGGCCGGGTCTCAGGGGCTGGCTGGGCCTTGAAAACACCCCACACTGCTGCCACTTGCAGGAAGCCCCTCCTGCTGCCTTCCCTGACAGGCGGAAGCTGCCCTCTCTTCAGCCTGCCGGCTTCAGCCTGCCTCCCTGAACTCCCCTCCCGCCAGCCCTCACGGAGGAGGCCCGATGCCAGGAAGCCCTGCTGTCAAAGGAGACAGCTGTTGCTCCCTTGTCCTCACATCTGAGCACGTATGAGAACACCGTGCCGGTGAAAGTGTGACAAGCGGCAAGGGTGTCAGGTGAGGACGAGACTCCCCTCTGCCAGCCCCTCCCAGAGCCACCGCACGGGGAAGCGGGGGTGGGGGCTGAAGCACAGGCTCTGGACTTCCCGAGGCCCTAGCTGGGGAGAGCAGGACCCGCGAAACAGCGTTGGTCTGACCAAGATAGCATGAAGTCATAAAACAAAGCGGAGTCGCTGTGTCGACTTAAGACTGCTGCTGGTCAGCCGTGACACTTCGGTTCAAGAGGGGAACTACCTAAGTCATAGCAGACACATCTGGCAAGGAGACACACCTAAAATACCTGCACACGGGATCAGAACAGCTGCGTCTGCGGAGCAGGGCCACCCATAGATGGGCTCCTGGGCAAGTTCCCCACTTGGCATCAGGAAACCAAGACATTTATCAAAAAGACCCAGAAGGGTGGAGCCCACCACTCCCAAGGTATAACCGAGGCGGGCTCCAGACCACTGCGGACATAGCGAGCTCCAAGCCCCAGGGCGCTGCTCCACGCCACGCTGCTCTCCCTTGGCGTCGGCCGCCGGAGGCTCTGCCCTGCTGGACGGGGGACCTCGCCTGCCCCGCTGCCCGCCTGGCTCCAGGGACACTTCTTGCAAGGCGCTGACGACTCCCTTGCCCACTGCGCTGTCTCCCGGACCTGCAGACCGAGACTCTGGGACTGGGGTTCGCTATCCCCCACCGACTGCATTGTTTGTGTTACGCTCCTCTTCGGTTGTCAGGCTGTGAGTAGGACATAAACGCATGCTGGCGCTCTACTTGGAGTGACCCTGCAGTCAGTAAGAGCTGAGTGCGTAGCGTGGTTGCTGCACGCGGCTCGTTCACTCCTCGGAGCTGGGCTTCCCTGTGGGCAGCGCGCTGAGCCGTGGCCCGGCTGACTTATATGAAAAACTGTATCACGAACCTATGCTTGTGGCACTAGCTCTCTGTTGGTCTGTGACCTTTGCGGGGACAGCCACCGTGAGACTATTTCCTGCTCGGCAGAAGCGGGTCGTACTGCCGCCTGTGCACGCATGTTGGGAGCAAAGGCAATATTTGCAACACACCCCGCACTTAGAGGCTCGATGAACAGCATGAGTGTCAGCGGACGCTGAGAGGCTTCTCACGTGGGCCGGGGCGGTGCGGGGGGGGGGGTGCTGAGTGTCACAGCTGTGAACTCAGTTGACCCTCCCGGCACCCACTGGGAGTAGAAACTATTATTATCTCCATGCACCAGGAAAGGAAACCGAGGCACAGAAAGCCTGTGTCCAAGTCCACGTGGACAGAGCGGAGCAGCCAGGATTCAGGCTCAGGCGGCCACACTCTCGAGCCCATGTGCTCAGCTGCCCGCCCTGATGGGCCCCTGGTTCTGCTCCGAGCCGCTCTGGACTGAAGGGAGACTCAGGAGAGGGTCAGCAGGCACCAGGGACTGGGCAGAGCAGACTTGGCCGAGGGCTCTCGTGGCCGAGGAGGTGCCCCCAGTCCACAGAAGGGGCAGCAGCTGTCCCCACCCTGCCTCCGCAGGTCACAGGGGCTAGATGCACTTTGCTCCCTATGCTTGCACACTAGCTGAGCACCCTTTAATGGTTGTTTTGTTTTGTTTTAAGGAAGGAGCCAACATATTTCCACATCTGTGGCGTTGCCATGCCCCCTTTGCCAATGCGGACATCCACGTAAAGCAGGGAGTGGCCGGCCGGGGCCTGCTGTCTGGGAGGGAGGTCCTGGCAGCGGGAGGCTGCGAGGGCCCTTGAATTGTGCACTAGCCAGGAGGGACTTCCACGATCAGCGATCAGCGGAGCTGCGCCTGCCCTGCGGGCGGGGTGTGTCACCGCGACCATCAACACCTGCTTCTTCAGCTAAAGCCTGTCCACAATAGTGCACTCACAGACCTGGGCTGCTGTGACATTTAAGGAACGATGGAAGCGTCATCGATCCCCAAGTGTCGATCCCACGCGAGGAAGGAGTTCCATGGAGTCCTCCTAACAAACAGGGCACACACGCGCACTTACAGCGGAGCGAGCGGGACACGCGCAGCAAACTGTTACGCGAAAAAGCAAAGAACGTGGCCGCGAATCGCGCTGAACGGCGGCAACGCGGCCCGGGGCGGTAGCCGGGCGTCGCAGGGTGGACACGGTGGCAGGAGCAGAGGCGGGCAGCCGTCCGAAGTGACCAGTTGGGTGGCGGCCACAGCGCGCTCACGGACAGCTGTCAACCGCCCGCTCACATGGCCAGGAGCTGAGGGACCCAAGTCGGGGCGGCGGACGCCGGGGCAGCACTCGCTCCGGGTGGGGAGGTCATGCCCGGAAGGACAGGTGTGATTTTAGTGCCCCCTCGCCCCACCCAGCGTGGACGAATCCTCGTTCGGCCCTTGATGCGGTGACATCGGCCGCGTCCGTGGCGGCTTCCCCGGGCAGGAGGTTGTGACCTGGGCCTGGAAGTCAGTGGCATCCGGGAGGTCCGTTTGCTGGGAAGGGGCGTCGGGATCCTGGCGCCCCCTCCCTGTCTCCCTAGCCACTGGCCTCGGCCCCGCCCCTCTCCCCCTCGTAAACAGGAAGCTAGAGTGTGCGTCCGGCGTGAGAGGGGCGGGAGCGATTGTGAACGGCGGCGGGCCGGACCAGTCACGGAAGGCGGTTGGCAAAGAGCCAATCGTGAGGGCTGGCGGGGGCGGAGTCCGAGGCGGGTCTGGTGAGCCGGAGCCAATCGCGGCGGCCGGCGGAGCGCCGGGTGTAGGGCAGGCCCGAGCAGGGCTAGGCCTAGGGCCTGAGGGGCGTCGGCGGCGGCGGCCGGCTCGGGTCCTGGTCCGAGTGCGCGGAGGGCGCGACGATGCTGCAGCTGCGAGACTCGGTGGACTCGGCGGGCACGAGCCCCACGGCGCTGCTGGCGGCTGGCGAGGAGGTCGGGACCGGCGGCAGCGCGGGCGGCGTGCGGCCCGGCACGCCGCTGCGACAGACGCTGTGGCCGCTCAACATCCACGACCCCACGCGCCGCGCCCGCGTCAAGGAATACTTCGTGTTCCGGGTGAGGCCGGGGCCGGCCCGGGGACGGGGCTGGGGGCGGGGAGGGGGAGCGGGGACGGAGAGTGAGCCCAGCCCTGTGCCCGCGCGCAGCCCGGCACCATCGAGCAGGCGGTGGACGAGATCCGCGTCGTGGTCCGGCCCGTGGAGGACGGCGACATCCAGGGGGTGTGGCTGCTGACCGAGTAAGCGGGGCGCGTCCTGGGTGGGGGGGCCCGGCCCCGCTCGCGCCCGCGCGCTCCCGCCCTCGGGGACGGAAGGGCGAAGGTGACGCACCTGGGTGCCGCAGGGTTGATCACTGGAACAACGAGAAGGAGCGCCTGGTGCTCATCACCGACCAGTCGCTGCTCATCTGCAAGTACGACTTCATCAGCCTGCAGTGCCAGCAGGTGGTCCGTGTCGCCCTCAGCGCCGTGGACACTATCTCCTGTGGCGAGTTCCAGTTCCCCCCAAAATCGCTCAACAAGTAAGTCTGGTGAGGAGAGGGCCCAGCGCCAGGGTCTTGCAATCAGCGCTTTTAACCAGCCCCTTCCCCCTCTTCCCCCTCTTCCCCCGCCTGCCCCCACCCCCCACCGTTGTCTTGCGTCTGCCCTTATGTGGAAACCTAAAAGCCTCGCCTCCAAAATCAATAGCTGCTCAGAATAGAAGCTAGTGACTTTGGGCAGCCGATGCATTAAAAGGAATTCTGGCACAAAAACAGCTTTTAGGCTTGTAGGCAAGGGAAGCCAACGTGCACTGAAGTGGATCCCACATGGAGAGTCTCCTGTGAGGACCCAACAGCTCTCTGGCCAGGACTCTGTGGGTCATGTCAGTTCGGCTCTGCTGATTTATGTATTTTATGTGTTTCATTGATGAAAAGGCTTTATGTGGTTCCCAGATTTTTTTGTTAGGCTAGAAAAGCAGTCTTCCACTGCACATCAGCTACGGGTCCCCTTGGTGCGACCCCAGCCCCAGGAAGCACACTTTGAGGGGCTTGTGCCGGTGTGCGCGATGCTCGGGACCCAGAGAGAAGTGGGTCAGGCGTGTCCTCGGGGTTCTGCGGAGGCCGCTGCGAAGCAAAGCGTGCTTGGCTTTTAAAAGAACACAGCAGCGTACCGTTTTAATCTACAGACGTCACTGAAGGTTAAGGAAATCGGACACCTTCCCGGGGCTGACCCTCCTGCTTTAGGGGGTTTTCCGGACTTTGGGAACCGGGGCACTGGCACAGCGCGCCCACTTGCACAGCGTGAGGGCGGGCCCAGGCGCCGAGGTCTGGAGCGGGAGCCCGGGAGGCGAGGGGGAGCTGCACCGTGAGCCAGGTCCAGCTACACACACGTGCTGTCTGTGCAGCAGACCCCTCGACGTGTGTTCCCGTTGCCTGTTAAATTTCGGTAATTGTGTAAAGTTTAGCGTAACCGAACCAACATATTTAGTGTCTCATGTTTAAAAGCACTCGAAACAGCTCGTCCTATGGGGGCTGGCTCTCAGCCACGGGTCTTTTCTGTTGTGAATGTCACAGGTCACCACGGCCTGGCTTTTCCACGCCCCAGCCCATCGCTGAGCAGGCTGCGCGGGCGCCGAGCGTGGCCTGCCGGGTGAAGTCCAGTTCGTTTTCTCTAACAGGCGAGAAGGCGTGGGGATTCGAATCCAGTGGGACAAGCAGAGCCGTGCCTCCTTCATAGACAGGTGGAACCCCTGGTCCACCAGCGTGCCCTACACCACGTTCGTCGAACATCCGATGGCCGGTGCAGACGAGAAGACAGCCTCTCTGTGCCAAGTAAGACAGCCCGCGACAGCAGCACCGCCCTGCTGCCAGGGAGATGTCCTGGGCCTGTGCTGCCCTGTATGGTGGCCGCGTGAGGCCGCCGGGCACTTGCAGTGGCTAGTGAAACAGGAAATAAGCTTTTAGTGTTTAATAATTTCAGTTTGCTTGCGTTTAAATAGCCCCATGTGGCTAGTCGCTCCTTGTCAGCATAGTTTCATAGTGTCGCCCTATGGCCATCATGTCTTGGAGAAGAGCCCGGGGTCCTGGGGTGGGGCAGCTGGGCCTGGCCTGTGTGAGGGCCCGGCAGCCCGTGTGCTCGCCATGGGAGGAGGCCTTGGGGCCAGCGGGGAGAGCAGAGTCTGGGCCCGGTGGCAGGGGCCCCGTTAGCCGGCTGGACACCTGGCCGCTCCCTGGCCCAGTGGTGCCGGTGGTGCCAAAAGTCAGGGAGTGGGCTGTGGCGAGGCCACTCAGGCCAGGGCTCCAAGTGCTGGCTGTCGTCCAGCGCAGGCGCGCACAGGGGGAGACCCGACGCTCCCGGAGAGCCCCGCTGACGGGGCAGCCGAGGGCCACTGGGATGGGGCTTCAAACCCCTCACCCAGGGCAGGGCTGGCAGGCTGGGCGGGGGTTTTCCTTTCATGGGTCACTCTGATCAGCTGTGTTTTCTCTTTTTAAAGTTGGAGAGCTTCAAATCTCTGCTGATCCAGGCTGTCAAAAAAGCCCAAAAAGAGAGTCCTTTGCTGGGACAAGCCAACACTGTGCTGGTCCTGGAGCAGCCCCTCCTCATTGAGACCTACGTGGGGCTGATGTCCTTCATCAACAACGAGGCCAAGCTGGGTTATTCCATGACCAGAGGCAAGATAGGCTTCTAGAGGCTGCACTCGGGAGCCTCCGGAGAGGGCCGGGCGGCAGTGGGCTCGGGCTGCCGCCTGCGGACCAGCTCCTGCCCACGCCAGGGTCAGGGCCGTTGCCCTCTCGAGGTCTGCGCGCGACTGGAACACAGCCTGGTGACGTGTGTACTTCGGCGGGTGTGCACACTTGGTCCTGAGCCACAGGCAGACATGAAATGACCTGGCTGCCCCTGTGGCGGCTGCCCTTCTGCCTCTGGAACGTCAGCTGTCATCTTTCTCCTGCAGCGTCTCCTTTGGGTGTCTCTCCTCTCCCCCCTCCCCTCGCATGTTAATAAACCTCGTGTGATTGCGGTAGAGTGTCCCTACTGGCCCTGAGCCTGCGGTCGTCACCCGGGAGGGGCCCCGCCCCAGTCCCCACAGTCACAAATGGGTTCACCCCTGGGGTCGAGCATTGTACTTGGAAATGTAATCCCGTTTCGAAACACAAAAGCAGCCAGCAGCCTCGCCAGCTCCTGAATGAACAGTCGCTCTTGTGTGAGTGAGTGCTGATCTGAAGTCCCACTTTTCCCCAAGTTAAGCCTATGTTAACGCTTTCGGCACCTTTCCCGGGCCCGAAAGGTTCGGAGAAGATCGTTTTAAGACCATTCACTGATTTGGGAAAGTCACCTTCATAGCTCTTGGCCCACATGAGCTCGGACGGCTGACATTCTAAGTCCGAATGGTGGTTGGCATTGAAGGAACTGCCTCAGTACGTCAAGGATGCGCGCCTTGAACAAAGGACTGTTAGTTCTCACAAAGCAGCTCCTGCCCTCACCACGCCTGGCCCCATGCCCAGGGAGCACGTCCCCGTGGGGACCGCAGGCTGCCGCCCCTGCATTGGCCACTGTCTGCTGCCTGGGTGGGACTCTGTCGGTCGGCCTCCAGGGCTGGCTCGCGACCCTCCCCCACCCCCCGCCTGGCGCAGCTGTGACTGGCTGGCGTGGGGCTGGAGGGCCACCCAGCGCCAGGCCAGTGCCGATCCTTTGCTTCGGTCCCCTTGTGACGTTTAGAACTGGCTGGGGCCCCTTTCTGAAGTTATTAAAATAGATGCAAAAACCAAGAAAGCTGCCTCTTCCCACAGTGCGTTCTGAAGCTTGAGCTGTTTGTGTCCTCACTTTGGGAGCCTGTCACCTGTTGTCCAGCACAGGGACAAGGGCTCCAAGGAGTCCTCACCGGGCTGGCTTCTCCCAGAGCCCCCGTGGCTCTATCAGGACATGGGGCCCTGACCCACCGCCCCTGCTCCTCACCCTGGAGGCCCGTCGGACACCTTTGAGCCGGCAGCCAGGACGGAGACACCCCCCCCCCCCGGGAAGCCCACCCAGCAGGTCAGGGCCGACCCGGCGGGTCCCCTGGTGCAGACACCCTCGGGGGCCCGCCACCCTCCTCCTGACACCGGCAGTGACGGAGTGGGAGCTCACAGTGGGGGTGGCCTCCTGTATGGGGAACCGGCTGCAGGGGGCTCAGCTCTTTGCCCCCAGGCAGTGAACCAAACCCTTAGCGCCAGTCGAGAACACCTGGCCGAGACCCAGACCTTTCAAGAAAACCAGCATCAGCCTTTGTATGAATTAACAAGTGTTTAAATAACCAAAATTACAACTTTAGACCATACCTATTTACAAGAATGCTTTGCTATAGGAAAAAAAGCAAACCACCTCCTGTGGCCCACGGCAGCTGCAGAACTGCCCCGGGGAGGCCGGCGCCCCCTCAGGCCGGCACAGTGCGCCCGCCCCCGCCCCCGCGGCTCCTGCCCTGCCCTATGCGCGGCTGCCCTGTGTCCCGGGAGCTGTGCCGCCCTCGCCCTCCATCTCCAGGAAACACAGGCAGAAATGGTCCTTGCCGAGGAGGGCCAGCGAGTCCCCGTTCGAGTGCCAGCACAAAGAGAGCACCTGGAAGTCACCTGCAGGGGAACGGGGCCCACAGGCTGAGCGCGGGGGCCCGGGTCCTGGGGGAGCACAGCCCAGACCTGTGGGTGCCGGGACAGGGTGCAGGGGCCCAGCCAGAGCCCCAGACCGCCTGCAGCTGGGCAGTCTCTGCCCTCCGTGGACCCGCGGAGCCGTGCTTACCTTCCCCGGGCACCTGCACGGACACGCAGCCGGCCGGCGACCACAGGTACACTTTGCTGCCCCCCGTGCATACGGCCAGGCGGGGCTGCTGCGGGTCCCACTGGAAGGCTCGCACGGGGCCCAGCTGCTCCAGCACCGCAAACAGCCTCAGCTTCCGCACGTCCCAGATCCACACAGCATTTGGGATGTTGTCTGAGGAAGGCGCGGATGGGCGCGTGGTCCATCACTCCCCCCATGGCCTGGGTCAGCCCCGCCCCAGTGTGGACGCTGACACCCACGGGCTGCCACCGAGAACACAGGGCGCTGTGTCCACACTGGCCCCGGGGCCGCCTGAGTCTGTACTGGGGCCGGTGGGTTTTTTAATACAGTCTTTAAAAACGTGCCAGCCCTTGTTACGTGAAGAGGCCACGGCTGGGACCCCGGCTCCTCCTCCAGGCGGCAGACAGAGCAAGTGGGGGGTGGAGGGTGCCGGGCAGAGCGGCTGCCAAGCCCTGCTCCCCGGGGAGCACCTGTGGGAGGAGGTGGGGAGGCCGAGGCCCGGGAGCCTGCTAGCGGGCGCCCGAGCACAGGGGGCCGAGGGGACACTGCCGCACGTGGGCCGCAGCGCTCACCGTTCCTCGTGGCCAGGAAGCAACTGTCGGGACTGAAGGCCAGCGCGCCGACGCCGATCTTCGGGTTCGCCCTGTCAGCAGCAGGCTTCAGAGTCTGCAGGGACACGGGCACCGCGGCGATCTCGTCTAGAAGCGAACAGGGAAACCCGCCACAGCCCTGACTCAGCACAGCGCAAGCCCCCCTGAGACGCCCCGCCCCGCGCCCATGCCCGCCGGCGAGTCTCTGGCCCTGCTCCCTCGGTTCAGGCGGAGGAAAAGGCCGGTGGACCTTGAAAGCATCGGGGCAAACTATCATCAAAACGAAGGCCTGACCGGAAGCAGGCTGCGGTGCTGGCAGGCGCCCGGGAAGCCCTCGCCTCGGCCGGCCGCGGCGGCCCCCGCACCACGGCACTTCCCGTCCTCCTGCCCCTTCCAGCATCGTAGCTTAGACTTCACAGCCATAGAAAAAGCGTGCGGAACACGAACGTTTAGAGAAGTGAAAACACCACGTGCTATCACAGGGTCATCCACTGTGACAAACGTCCCTTCTAGGGGCGCCGGCAGCAGGAAGTCCGTGCACGTGGGCTGCGGGGGAATCTGCACGGCGCCGCCTAGAACGGCCCCGGGAGTCCGCGCTGAGCGAGGAGAGCGTCGTGGGCCAGAGGCAGCCGGGCGGCGACCATGAAACCTGGAGCTCGCTCCCCGGGCCAGGGCCACCCTGGGCGGGCTTGCCGGGCCCATGGCTGTGCCTTCGCTTCCCCTTAAACAAACGCCCATGTCACCAGTGAGCGCGCACAGCAGGGGCAGGACACAGTGTGGCTCTGCAGCCAGGCCGGGCCCTCCCCCAGTCACCTCCTAACCCTGCGGCTCATCCAAGGGACTATATCCTCAAAGGAGGCCCTCAGCCTGCTGGCCGCCAGATTTGGGTTTTTAGAGCTGCTATTTCGTCAACAAAAGCCATGCCCAGGCGGTGAAGGCGTCGCGGTCGGGGACGCTGGCTGTGCAGCATCCCCGGAAAGGGGACGAGGGCCTATGATGTGCACGTGGGCAGAGACCCCTTTCTCACAGAACAGGAAACAGGCTCACATTTGCTCTCGGCGGCCCTGGGAGGAGGGCAGGCAGGGCGGCCCAGCGACCCCCGGGGGCTCTTCTCAGCTTCCTTATACACCACCTGGAAGACAGAGACACGTGGACAAGGCGGTGACCGCCGGCCTGAACACAGGGCGCTGCCACTGCAGTCCAAGCGGGGCACGGGGACACCACCCCAGGCAGGCTTCTCGGTGCAGGTTCCACCCGCGAGCCTCGTCCGAAGAGCGGAGGCGACAGCAGGCCGGGGGCCGCACGTTCACAGGCCGGTGAGCCAAAAAAGCCCGCCTTTCCGCGGGGACAGAGACAGGCTCAGGGAACGCGGGGGCCTGGGGCCCGACAGGCCGAGGCCGAATGCCCAGGAGCAATGCCCTCTGAGCCTGTGGGAAGCGCCACCCGCCAGACACACCGAGTCCGCAGAGGCCGCACGCACTGCTCCGACCTCACTTCCCCCACTCGGCTGCGGCCCCCGACCTCACAGTGTCCCCGCGCCCGCCAGCTCCTGCCTCCTTGCCCACCTGCCCTTGCTCTTACTCAGCTCTCCCATCCCTGGGCACGCTCCCCGAGGCCGGAGCTCCTGCCCACGTCCCCTGCTGTCCCCAGGCACCTGCCACAGATGCACACTCACCTCAGGACCTCTGTACTCGCTGTTCCCACTGCCTGACACCCTGCTCCCAGATCCCACACCACTTCCCGCTCACGCGTGCCCTCGCTTGCCCCGGGGAGACCCCCCAGCTCTCCTAGCCCTCGCCCCCCCAACTACAGGGCGGGGTCTGGTCCGCTCTCTCCGACTGTGACCCAGGGCACAGCACCTGGCCTGGCTGTGGCCACGCAGCACCGGCCGGCAGGAGGCCCGGACAGCGTGCGGGAGCACATCTGAGAGGCGCCACCGGGTGGGGGGGCGGGGGGGCGGGGGTAGGGTGCCACTTCGCATCTTGTGGGAACGCGGACAGGAAAAACAAGGGACACTGGCTGCATGTGTCATGTGCAACGTTCCAGTCGCTTCAGTCTACAGAGGCAGAAGCTCCTGCATCAGCACAGATAATGTCACGTGGGGAAGCACTTCCTCCCTCCCCCCCAAACACGGCTCACACAGAAACGGGACTCGACTTACCACTCTGGAGTCGCTGACGGCTGCGGGGTGCCCGAGCTCGGCAAGCACTGTCCAGGTCACGTGGTTGAGAACGCGCACCTGAGGGGAGCGTGGTGAGGCAGGCCGGGGGCAGGGGATGGCCCACGCCACCCCCCGAGCCCGCCCGCGGGGCTCGCCGCGGCGGGCGCCCCTCCCACCTTCCCGTCGTAGCTGCCGACCGCCAGGAACTGGCTGCTGGGGCTCCAGGCCACCGCCTTGACGCCCAGGGACCACTCGTAAGCACAGTACGCCGCCAGCCGCCGGCCGTCCAGGGAGTAGAGCAGGACCTTGTACTGCAGGCAGGACGCGGCGGCTGTGAGCCGGGGTCCGGCTGAGCTGGGATGCAGCGAGCGCGACGCGAGGCAGGCGCCCCCCGCGGCTCGGGCACGCGGGGCGCCACCCCGACGGAGGTTGGACGGACGAGCCAAGCGGTGAGAGACTTGGGGACAGGGGTGATGGGGCTGTCATGGCACCGCGGCTCCAGGAGGCGCCGGACAGACGCAGGCAAGGGCCCCTCCTACCTCCAAGCAGGTGTCCCATGCCGCCAGCACGCAGCCGTTGGGGGCCCACTCGATGCCGGCGAGGTCCTGGGTGTCCGTGTCAAAGTGCTGCCACAGGGAAGAGGGAGACTCGGCTCAAACCAGGAAGTGCCGGCCTGACAGACTCACGTCTGTTGTGCGACTGATGCTTTGAACCCAAACAGGATGCAATGTCCTTATAGAGAAATGGACAAAGAAGGCACACGTGTCTGTCCCTCCCAGCTGTTGTGCGCCTGAGCGTCAGGCGGCCCCGGGGGCGGCACTCGGCCCGGCGGGCGCCGTGCACCGTGCACGACTCCTTCGCGCGCGCCGCTCTCCCTGGCCGCTCCTCTGCCGGCATTCCAGAGGCTTCTGTGTCTCAGCCCCGCCTGTGCCCGCACTGCCCGCAGCTGCAGGCCCCTCCAAGCCCAGCCCGCGGCACCCGGGGAGCCTTGACCAGCGTGGGCACCCGGGCCGAAGTCAGGCCCACCCTCTCTCCGATGAAGCAACCCACGCCAGGAGGCAGAGAAAGCAAGGGGGGCACGGAGCTCTGGGCGCCCGCCTCGCCCGTGGGTGTTGCTTGAAGCCCCAGGCGGCGTGTGAGGTCAGTCGCATGTTCCCACAGGACCCCGGAGGGCCCCAAGGGCTTGAGGCACAGACACCACCGCTCCCTGCCCACCAGGCAGGACCACTGTCCCCGGCGGGAGAGGCACTCACCCGCAGTAGCTGCCAGTCGCTGCAGACGAAGATGCTGACGAAGTCCTTGCAGTCCCGCCTCTCGGCCAAGGCCAGGTAGCGGCCGTCCCGGGAAAAGGCGATGCCTGCCAGGGAGAGGGAGGGCCTGGAATCAAGGAGCCAAACAGGAGACAAGCCAGGGCTCGTGTCTGAGGAGAAGAGGGAGCGGCACGGGCGGGCACCGCGGCACGGGGGCCAGGGCAGTGACACCTGCCGGGGAGCCGAGAGGCGGGGTCGCCCCCTCCAACGACCGCGGACCGCTACTGCAAAACACAGCGCCGCGCGGGCCGCCCCGTTTTCAGAAATTACAGGACGCTCGGCTGGTTGGGCGTCTCCTGCTCCCACACCCCGGTTTTCACCCCCGACCCCGACCATTTGGAAGGAGACTGGCGGCGCTGCTCTGGGGGTGTCGAGCTGTGCTTTCCCGGTCTGTGCTCCCCACAGTCTCCCACACGTGGGGACCGCACGCCCGAGTCACGGGAGGGTCGTTTCCACACAGGAGGCACACACGCCTCCCGCCGAGACGCTCCCGTTCGAACTATGGAAGTGAATGACACATGTACAACCACACGCCGCTCACACACAGCCTCCAGAAGGCTGACGGCAACAGGAAAAGCAGGGAAACCACGCCAATGACGTTGCGCTTCCCGTTTATGAAATGGAGACACTTCACTGTGGCCTCGTGATTTGCGTGGTGGGCCCTGCCTGAGCTGCCCCTTCTCCCTGGTGGCTCAGAGGACACCTGTCACTCATCTCTCCTCTAGGACGTCCAGAGAGCACGGGTCACTGTTTCCCTCAACAGAGATCCCAGCTTTGGTCAACAGAAGATGGAGGGATTTCCGGCTCAGCACTCAGGGCCAGAGACGGGCCCCCAGTGGATGTGAGCTGGGAGGGGCTGGGACACCGGCCCATAGCGGGCAGGGGAATTATGCGCCAATCCCTTGTCTTGGGTGCACGTTAAACACCACCCTCTTTAGTCACTGAGATTTGTTTTAAAAGGGGGATCCTCGTCTCCTAGAGAAACGTGGAAACACTTGCAGACGGAACATCAGGATCTGGAATGTGCTACAGAAGAACCCGGGGGCCCGGGGACTTGGGCCCAACCGGCTGTGGGCGACACAGCACCGAGGCTGCGTGTGAAATTCCCCACGGGGGAAAAGCCCACGAACCGGAGACGCCGCCCCCGGACTGGATTCCGACTGTTCTCTGCCGGACTCACCCTGCTGACAGGCCTTGGGATACTTGATGTAGGAGACGGACTTTGTGCACAAGGACCAGACAGTGATCCGCAGCTGTCGGGGCAAAGGGGCGAGAGGAAGGAAACGGCACACGGTCAGGTTCTCAGAGAAACCGGGCGGCGGGCGGCCTGCAGGGCAGCGAGCCACTCCACGGGGGCTCTCCTCGGGGGGGCCGCGGGGCCCAACCCCACGTCGCTGCAGCCAAGCCAGCGTCGACTCCACGCGCTCCGGAGCGTTTTCACTGTGCAACAAGACTACTGGAGCCCCGGCTGACATGGCTCAGTGGATTGAGCACTGGCCTGAGAACCAAAGAGTTGCCGTTTGGATTCCCGGTCGGGGCACAGGCCTGGGTTGCAGGCCAGGTCTCCAGTAGGGGGTGCGAGAGAGGCAGCCACACATGGATGTTTTCCTCTTTCTCCCTCCCTTTCCCTAAAAGTAAATAAATAAAATCTTAAAAAAAATTACTTGAGCAACACGAAGTAAAAATAACATGTAAATGTATAACGTACGTGCATTTCAGTTCACACTTTCTAAGTAATCATTTTCACACCACGGTAACCGTAAACAGCTGTCAGCCTGAGAAGCCTGTTATCCAGGGCAGACGGGACTCTGGCTGGGCCGCCCTGGTCCTCCCAGGGCAGCGGCGCGGCGGCCCAGCCCGAGGCAGGAGGGTGCGTCTGGCAGCCACAGGGACACCGCCCCCGCCGCCACAGACCCACCGCGTGGTCACCACCCACCCTCCCGCACCCCCCTGCGGCCCCGCAGGCCATCACAGAAGGGACGGACAGACAGCCCGTTGGGGCCGGAATGGACACCTGTGTGTCGGGGACAGGCGTGGGCCCTGGCGTTTCACCCACCGCCCTCCGGCGGCCGCGCGCCTGCGGCACCTGCGGCACCTGCGGCACGCCCAGCGGAGCCCCGTTCTCAACACGGTCTGTGCAAACGCTGGGTCGTGCCCACACGCGCACCCTGTGTTGCCTGAGAGATGCACGACTGATCGCACGGACACCCGTGTGAAAGGGCTGTTGGGTCGAGAACCGAAAGGTGGGCAGCCGAGACACCGTTCTGTGAACACGTGGTCTAGAACCACACCGGCCACGCCAGGAGCCATGTGAGGACCGAGGACGGACTGGCCTGTGGGTCTGCTGGCCGCCCACCCCGGGTCCCGATGCAGCTGAAAGCACATAGCTGGCCTTGCCGGGGACCGCGCAGCCGCTGTTTCTGATAGGTCTCCCCGTGCCCTCCCGTCGGGCGTGACCGCGAAGTGACTGCGCACAGCTGCTGTGCCAGGTGTCCAGGGGAGGCCCCCCAGCTGCGCCACAGGAGGCACCGTGCGGGGGGTGGCCACGATGGCCCATGATGCGGGACAGTGACAAGGCCGTACTACAGGCCCAGCTGCGGGCAGTGGGGCGCAGGGCGAAGGGCCGCTTTCGGTTGGGTGTGCGCAGTGGTGGAATGAGGGCAGGGCCTCCGAGGAAACCCGATGCCAGGGCACTGCCTGCGCATGGTGCCTCCGCTCTCATGTGGGCGGGGAGGGGACTGACTCCGTCCTCCCCGCATCAGGCCTTCTTACAAAAGAATCAGAAGTCTGATGTCACCGCTGCTCCTTCCCAGCTCGTGCGGCATCGGGGAGGAGGCCTGGAAACACCGCTGCTGCCGCATGGCCCCGAGGGCCCGCACTCACTCGGCCGACCTGCCTGGGGCGGGGGGGGGGCTCCCCAAGGCCACCAGGTGTGATGAGGAGAGGTGACAATTCTCGCCCGACAGACCCGGCACACAGGGTCCACCGGTGACGCTGCCCGTCCTCAGCGCCACCGGGTCTGCTGGCCTCTGTCTAGGCTTCCCGGTCCGCACGCCCTGCAGGTGTGACACCTGGAAAACTCCACCCCTGAGACAGTGGGGTTCCAGCTGCGGGGCCCCAGGTGGACGCAGAGCATACCCGCCAGCGACACACCTGTCAGACACTTTACGGCAGGGAAAATGCACAGCTCTAAGAGCCTGATGCTTACCCTTCCTCCCCCGTCAAAAAGTTAAAAAAAATTATGACTGTTTGTAAACTTGAACAAATTAACAGGAAGAAAAGAGGCGCCAGCTCTGTTGGCATCCACAGCATGACCGGAGAAGCGGGCTCCCACGAGGACAGGCCCACGCCACATCGGGGGGATGGGGACGCGGTGGCCTGGGGTGGGCAGCAGGCACCGGGGCCTCAGCGCTGTCCAGAGCCCCTGCCGACAGGCAGACTCCCCATGCAAATGAGGTGGTTCTGCTCGCAGAGCGTGAAGCTCACCCTGGGGCCATGACCCCCGTCCTCGGGTCCGCACCACCCAGTCTCGCCTGCCGCTCCGCTCGCCCAAGGGTGAGTTTTTTGGGGGGCCATGGCCATGTTCCACCTTGGTTATGCTGCAGTTTCTTTTCTTTTTAAAAAAAGATCTTTTAATTAATTAATTTTATTTTTAGACAGAAGGCGGGGGAGAGAGGAACATCCATGTGTGGTTGCTTCTCGCATGTCCCCCCTCGCATCCAGCCTCGCCCTCCAACCACCCATCAGCAACCACTAGGTCTCACGCACCGAGGGCTGAGTGGAGACCACGTGAGGCCACAGAGCCACCTGCAGCCGCTCACACGCCCACCCCCCGCGGCTGGACACAGGACCCGTGCTGGGGGTGCACCGCTCGGGGCCCCCTGGGAATCGCTGTGCCCACCCCCTGCATGTTCTCCCCAGCGGAGCCTGCAGCCCAGGCCCCAACCGCACGCTGGGCTCAGGCCCAGAGGCTGGGGGCCTAACGGCCGCCTCAGGAAAACATGTGGACGGGACCCGTGCACGTGTCTGTACTTAAAGACCCATGCGGACACCGAGGGCCCCACCCAACGCCTCACACGGGAGCTGCATGCGTCGCCAGGACCCGCCGTCGGGCCCCGCGCTCAGAGCCCCACGCGAGCCCACGGTCCCGTGAGCGCCAGCGCCTGAGGAACAGCCAGCGATGCACTGCTGACGCCCCCAGACTAGCAAGTTGCAAGTTCGTTCACAGCGGAGCACACTCGCTGCTGGTAAATTACAGGAACTGTTTAAATCCTTAGAATGTAATTTAGTATTTTTTAGAAATCTCTCCTTCTCCTTTAAAACGGGACAGAAAGACCGTAACCGACCTGACGGGCCCAGTGCGCTCTGCCAGCTTCCCCAGGACCGCCCCCTTCCAGGCTCCCGGACCTCAGGGCTGGGGGACACGCAGCCACCCCCGGGACGCGGGAGGGGCCGCGGGGTCACTCACATGGAACTCGGTGGTGTTGAGGACGTGGCGCCCGTCCGGGCTCCAGCAGGAGGCCACCAGCCCCGCAGCCCCCTCGTCGATCCTGCAGTGCCACTCGGGCTGCTCCAGGGACCACACCTGCGCTCGCGGAACAGAGAGGGGGTGCGACTTGCGGCTCCGCCGGGGCAGCGGCCCGGCCGGGACGCAACCGGAGTCCAGCGCTGAGGGGCGCCGGCCATTCCACGGTCTCTCACGCCGATGGCCGGTGCCAACGGCACCGCGCAAGTCACCAAATGGCTCGGAGGTCCTTTGGTTGTCGTTTTAAAAGGGGTCTTCCCTTCGCCACCCCTAAAGCCTCAGCTAGTTAAGTCCCCAAACACAATGTCACGTCTCAGTGCTGCCCAAACGTGCGCCGTGCCCAAGCTGTCGACTGGATTTGCAAACACTTCCTGTTGCTGACTCATATTTGGTTACAGATGAAGAATATTGAAGTGTTCTCTCATTCTGAAAGCACTTAAGCTAGGAGAGAACTACTACCACTCTCAGAGGAAGCTGTCTCTGAGGGGCCCTGCCCAGCCCCCAGCGGCGTCCCTGCGCCGGCCCCTCTCTCTGTCCATCCGCCCGCCCGCCCGCAGCGTACCTGCACCAGCCCCCGCCTGTACATGGCGCACAAGAGGAAGAGGGAGTCGGCCGACCACTCAACATGTTGGATCTGGTCCAGGCACGTGTAGAGCTGAAGGATCTGAAGGCTGTTCGCATCCCGGACCACTAGGCGGTACTGGACGCAGGAGGCCTGGGCAGGGGGAAGAAGCCGTAAGAAGGGAGCTGGCGGAGTCTGCACGCCCCCGGCCCCGTTCGCAACTCTGCCTCCCGCCTCTCTGATGCGCCTTCTATCTAGGTGTTTACTGTCAATTTTACGGCCCACTCTGAAAATTAGTTAATAAAAAGATAAAGTTGAAATTACAAACTAGATGTTAAAGCTGTTATACTTCAGCATGAAGTATTATTTTAAAACTCTACTTAAGTAATTTCCTGCTCCTTTCTTAATTTTGTGTTAAAACTAACACAAGCAGGCAACGCGCAGGAGGAAAGCTCTCCCGGGGCCCGGCCGGCCTGGTCTTGCCGCTCAGACGGTTCACAGGGAGCAGGGCTCGAGGCCTCGCCACTGCTGGTGGGAACGACTACAGGAATGGCGGTTCTCTTTTTTTTTAAATTTTATTTATTTATTTTTAGAGAAAGGGAAAGTGAGGAAGAGAGGGAAACATCAAGGTGTGGCTGCCTCTCACACGCCCCCTACTGGGGACCTGGGCCTGCAACCCAGGCCTGTGCCCTGATTGGGAGGGAATCGAACCGGAGACCCTTTGCTTCACAGGCCGGCACTCAGTCCACTTGAGTCACACCAGCCGCGGCCAGCGGTTCCCTTTTGTACAAAGCCTACTCGGAGCCAAACCAAGAGAAAGTTAAAATGTGTGTATTACATTCTACAAATGGAAAGACGCGTCATAAATGCTCATTTACCTCCTGAGGCATGATAGAAAATCTAGTTGGTCCCTGCGCCCAGGCCCTGCCCCAGCAAGCCTGGACTCCCGTAACTCCCTGGTGACAGGAGCACCTTTTGCTCTATGAGGGGCCTCCGGGCTCCCAGGTGGCTCCTGGTTGAGGGCTGGTCCTGAGAAGGACCAAGCCCTTAGAAGCTGGGGCCCTGCAGCCCTGTCCCTCACCCCCTCGGGAAGGGAGCGGGGCTGAGAATGGAGTCAATGACCGATCACGCCGACTCGAGAAAATCTCCCTAAAAACCCCAGGATGTGGGGTTCAGAGAGCGTCGGGGGGCGAACACATCCTCATGGGGCTGGCGGGGTGGGCCATGGCGAGGCGCCCGACTCCACAGGGACAGAAGCTCCGCACTCGGGACCCTCCGACCTCCCCCGAAGTTTTCCTTCCTCAGGCCAGGCACCTGTGTCCTTCACCACTTTCTGCAACAGAGCGGCAACGTGAGTCGGTGTTTCCCTGAGTTCTGGGCGCTGCTGCAGCGAAGCAATTGAACCTGAGGGCGGGGGGCTGTGAGAACCCCTGTCTGTAGCCAGGTCGGACGGTCCCTGTAGGTGACCTGGGCACCTGCTACTTGTGACAGCACAGCATCGGAAGGGGGTGGGCTGGTGGGCTGGGCCCTAGCCTGCGGGGTCTGCCACTCTCCTGGAAGACGGTGTCCGAATGCAGCGGAGCGGAACGGAGCAGTGGGCCGGCCAGCGGGCGCCGCAGAAACTGCTGGGTGGGGAAGGCCCCGCCCCCCCACGTTTGGTGACCAGAGGCGGTGTGAGCATGGCCAGCATGGGTGGCCGTGTGGCAGTGAGGAGGCGCCTGGGGGCTTCCTCGCACGCGTGAGCTGCCTCCTAGCGCTGACTATAGACATGCTCGCATCCCTCCGGCTTCCGAAAGACAGTTTCTCTCTGTCTGTGTCCACGTCCATCTCTACGCAAATAGGTTCTGTCTGAACACACTCGTCTGCTGACTGTAGGTTGCAGGTCAGTGTGAAGTCAAGAACTGCTTTCTAAATGTTAAGTTACTTCATTCCTGTACTTATCAAGGTTACACTGGATGACTGGTTTGTGTTCTATGAACCCCCATTAAGAGGAGAGCCACCGGAGTTTTCCAGGGAAAGAGGGAGGGAGCCCATTACAGATTGGAACGAGTGTGTGCCACGTGCTGCTTTTCTCACACTGGAGCTTCCGACACTGTGTCAGTTACAAGGAATTCCCTATCGATGGAATATTCGTACCAAAACTTGGAAAAACGGTATCAGATCTGTGCAAGATACTAAAATTGGCAGCATGGACCTACCTTCTCCGGCAGGTAAGACAGAACCTGAAGGGCAGGATTCCACTAACATGACCATCAAGTGTCTCACGATACTTTGATCAGAGAGTAAAAATCAAAAAAATACCAAAATTAAGCACAGAAATATAATTTTTCTGTTTATAATTCACTGGAATTTCCACAAATGATTTTTTAAAAAACTATCTTATGGAGGGGCACTTTGAAAAATGTACCAAGGTGTTCGGAGTGACACTTTTTTATATTTTTACACAAGGATATTTTTATTCATTTGAGAGAGGAAGGGGGAAGTTAGAGAAAAACATCGATCGGTTGCCTCCTGTTCACACCCCAACGGGGGCTCGAACCCGTAACCCAGGCATGTGCCCTGAGCAGGAATCGAACCCTCAGCCTTTTGGTGCACAGAACAGCACTCCAACCAACAGAGCCAATGGCCACTGCGTGCCATTTGAGCTAAAAACACACTTTGTGTTGTAGCTGAGTGCTATCGTACATGGTTTTAAATGCTACCTCCACAAAGAACGTAAACCTGTAACTTGGGAGTTCTATTTTCAAGGACCTACACAAGAACACACGGAAGTGTCAGTCGAGAGGGGAGGAATGAAGCCAAGAACACCATTGATAAGGCAGGGTTATTTTTCTTGAAGGCTTTGCAACGGCAGTTACCTCCCGCCCACCACGCGGCCACACCCCTGGGCTCGGCGGACAGGCTCCGGTCTAATCCGAATATTTCAAAACGTGAGTGCGGCGCCCAGGGCAGCCCCGCGAGGTCGGCCCACTCTGCCCGTGGAATGAACAGCCCAAGCCCCGCAACGCAGACAACTCGCTCCACCTGGGCGCGCAACGCCGGTCTGTCTGTTAAGCCAGTTATTGGGCACGTAGCAGAGACCGCGGCGAGGCCTGGGAACGGTGTCAAAAGTCGGCTGCCCCGCGGTCCCGGTTCACAGCCGACAGAAGTGCGTCTTGGCCGACTCGCGACAAAGTAACGACGATGACAAGCAGACGTCTCCTGAGTCCTCCAACGTGTCATGGCAGCACTGCTTTCCTCTGCCTTCGACCGATGGAAGTCCGGGGGCTGCGCTCAGGGCACCGATCGACCTGGGCTACTGCCTGGGTCCCCTGCCCAGCTCTCCCGTCTGCGGCGCAGGACCGGGGCTCGGGCCTGCCCCCGCGGACCCCCACGCTGCCTCCTCCCCCAGCCCCGCGGCCGCCTCCGCTCCCCGACTCGGGGTCCCCGCCACCCGGCGCGGACACGCGCCCCCCGCGCGGCTGCGGCTCCGGCCCCGCGGCCGCTCACCAGGTACTTGCCGTCCGGGGAGAACTTGCAGAGCTGGCTGGAGAGCTTGAAGACCTCCGAGAAGTTCATGGCGACCGCGACGACCCCGCGCCGGACCCCGCGCCGAAGAGCCCTCGGGGTCCGCGGCAACCGCCAGCGCCGCGCCCGGAAGTGACGGACGGCGGGAAGCACGCCGCAGCCTATCAGGGCCGGGGCATCCCGCGTGGCATTATGGGGCTTGTAGTTCGCTCTCGAGGCGCCGCCCCGCTCTTGGCGACCAAGGATTTCCGCGGTGCGCCCCTCCAGCCAGCGTCGCCACGTAAAATGCAGGATGTGCGCTTATATTTCAGATAAGCAACGAATCATTTTTAGTATAAATATGCTCCCAAATACTGCATGGGACGTACTTATACTAAAAAATCACCCGCTTATTTGAAATTACAACTTTAACTGGGCATCCCATGTGCTGTGTATTTCTATTTATATATGTATTTATACTTCCCGTGAAATACGTTGGTGCGTAAATACACTGACATAAAAACATGCATTTGCATGTACATATATAACACTGTATTGTTTGTACATCTATTTTGTACATGGTGTATAAACTTTTCTTTTTTCTTTGTTGGCTCAATCGGGCTACCCCGCTGGCGCTCGGGTTCTGCCCAGATCTGGGGAGAGCGAATCTGGCGCCGACCTGGCAGGGAGGGCGCCTGGACCGCACGCCCCGGGCGGCTGGTCTGTCGCGCGCGCGCGCTCTGAGCTGGGACAGCGCCGCCCTCCGCGGGGCCGGACGCGGCAAGCTCCTGCGTGGGCGCTGGCTTTGCCGACCTCGCGGCTCGCTCCTGTCCTCTCTTCCACTCGGAACGACTTACCCCCCACACACCCGAGTGCGCCCCCCGCGAGGCCCCGACGGACCCTCCGAAGCCCGCCAGACAGTGCGCGCGGCGACTCCGCGCCCCGCCTTGCGTCCTGCGAACCGAGGCCGCCTGCCTTCTCCCGGCCCCGCGCGGCCTGCCCCGGGGCTGCCCCTGCGGGCGCCCCCACCCCTCGACTTCCCTGAACGAGCAGGGGTAGGGGATGTTTGCAAGCGTCCTGCACCGAAGTGCCGACCTTTCCTGTCCTGGACCTTATTAGCCCCTGAGTGTGATCCGTCTCTGTGTCCCCACCGTCAGCGCCTCGCAAAGCGTAGGTGCGCAAAAAAGGTGTGTCGAAGTCAGCCAGGTGCAACAGGTGATGCGCAGTTCCCCTGCGGTCAGAGAACCCGCTCCACTCTGCCCGCTCTGCGCGCAGTTCCAAAGGCGGCACTGATGTGAGGGTCGCCCTAGTTTGGGGGCATCGGTGCAGAGGCAGAAAACGAGTGGCAAGAGCACCAGAAGGCGGCCTGCGGCAGGTGCCCGCTGCCCAGGGCCGCTGGAAACTCGGTCTACTTTGAGGCTTGCCCTAAGGGGGAGGAGGTGGGGGGCCGTGACCTTGACGCCGCAGGCGTCGCGGGCCAAGGGAAGCCTGGGCCTTAGGCGGTTTCTGCGCGCAGAGAGCAATTCCAGGTGCCCAGCCCATATGTCGCGGTGGACAGGGCCGGCACCTGCGCAAACACAGCAGAATCCGGTGCCCCAGGCCCCGAGGCTGAGGCGGTGTCCCGAGGAGGGAGCAAAGCGCGGGAGCATTTGAGTTGGGAGTTACTCCTTAGGTGCCACGGGGCACAACATCCGCCCAGGAAGAGCGGGGGCGGGGCCCCAGAGAGTTATGCCCAGAGGATTCCTGCGGATGCGCAATGCCGCCAGGGGCCAGGGCTTAGCGGTGACCTCTCTAGGTGAGCGGTGTGGGTGGCGTGCCCTCCGCGGCGGGGGAGCCCTACTGGAGCCACCTGGGCGAAAACGACTTCACCTACCTCCTGGCGTTGGGGCCTGGACCCTCACCCCTGTGCCCAGCAGGCTACGGCCAGTGTGGACACGCGGGGATCTGGGTGGCAACCCCTCCCCACGCGTGGCGCCTCCCCTGCCGGTGGATTCCAAGCGCTCCGACCGTGGAGGAGCCCAGCGCTGCGGGGGGTGGAGAGAGGGGAGATCTGGACGTCGGGGAAGATGCGGCGTCTGGGGGAAAGAAAGGCGTCGGGACGCGGAGTCGGCATCTCTGCAACACCTCCCCCCACCCCACCGGCTCCCGGGCGCTTGTCCAGGCCCCCAAGCCGAGGGGCCAGTCTCGCCAGCTGGAGGACCCCACGCCCGACCTTCCTCCAGCCTGGTGTCCAGGGCCCTGCAGGGGTGACACGCGCCAAAAGGTGGCGGGAAGGAGGCGGGGCGGAGCAAGCCCCGGGACCCCTGCTCGGACGGACGCGGCCAGCTGGGGGGGCGGAGCGCCGGGCGGCAACCTGGGCCCGGGCCGGCCCCGCCGCCCCGCGCTCCTCCCGCTCCGTGGGCCACGAAGGCGCTAACGCCCGCGGCCGCCCCCTCCCCGCGTTCCTCCCCGCCCCACACCCATAAAACCCTCCTCGACGGGTCCGCCGCCCGCCCTGCCTCCCCGCCTTGCAGCCGCGCCCCGGAGCCCACGGCGGAGTTACACGGCAGTGAAGCCGGGGCCAGCGCCGGGCCGACGCGGGTATCGATGCCGCGGGCTCGGACGGCACCAGGTAGGCAGTTCAGGAACCCGGCGCGAGAGGGACCTGGGCGCGGTTCGGCTCCGCCTGTGGGGGTCGGAGCGCAGGACAGCGGGCGCTTCAGCTCGCGGCTCCGAATCTGGGAGCTGGTGGCGAGGAGACGGTACACGAACTGGGAGAGAGGGTGATGTGGGGTGTTGTCCGACCGGCTCCTGCAACGGCTCGGGAGGGGCAGGGGGCCTGCCAGAGTCGGGCCCCAGAGGAGAGCAGGGTGGGGCCCTCAGTGCCGGGGCAGGGGGGCGGGGGCGGGGCCAGGAGCAGCTTCACTGGGGTTCCCGGGAGGGGGGCCTCCCTCCTGCTAAGCTTTCGTCACCTCAGGTTCTGAGGGAGAGGCTCTGCTGGGGTACAGGGACAGATGGAGGCTGGGAGCCTGTGAGCCGCTGACAAACTCCTGCGCGCCTGCCGGTGCCACTCACTCAGCGTCGGTCCGTGAGCGCTGCTACGCTGGTTGCGGAGGCCTTAGTCGTGCCCGCCCCCCAACACTGGGGAGGCGCAGGTGCTCCCTGGAGCTGGGGAGCTGGGTGGGCTCGCTAAGCTGGAGGGAGGCGTCGGTTACTAGGGAGCTAGGTTCCCGAGGGATGCCTCCCAGTGCCTCCAAAGTGGCCTGGGGGCCGGCTCTGTTCCTGGTGGGGAAAGGACTGGCCTGTCTCCTGGTGGGAGGCAACCCCTTGTCCCTGGCTCCCTCTTCCCCTGCCCCCCTGGCCCCTGTAGACACTGCCCTTTTAGCCTTTAAACCGAAGGGAGCTATTATTACCTTCTTACTCAGCCTGTATTTTTGTCTGGTCCCTGAGCGGGCGCACAAAGTGTGCACATGTCTGCATAAATAGATGGGTGACAAGTAGACCATTGTCCGCCAGTGAGGGGCTGGGAAAACAGCGTGGAGTTATCGCCTGACCAGAGGCCCTTTGGTTCAACATACTGTGGTCTGTTTAGTAAGTACCTGGACGCTGGGAGGCCTCAGCTTGATGCTCTGGTGGGGTTGGGTTTGTTGCCGTTGTTGGTGCCCATCTTTGGCAAACATGAGTCCTGCAAGCCTAAATAAAATCTGTCGCCCCTCGATGTTTAGAGAAGTCCAGCCGCCCTTCTTCAGATTTGTTCAGTAAAAGATAAAAAAGCATCGCACTGAGAACAAAAGCATAGCACGTTAGACATTTTGTAACAACCCGAGAATTTATGGATTGTGCATGCACTTTTAAAAGTAAGGTAAGCCCCGACGGACTGGCGTGGCTCTGCGGGCTGGGCGCCATCCAGCAAAGGGAGAGGTCGCTGGTGTGATCCCGGGTCGCGGCCACGTCCCCTGTCGGCGGGGCATGTGCAAGAGGCACCTGAATGACGTTTGATATTTCTCTCCCTTTCTTTCTCTCTTGCTTCCCCACTCTCTGAGAATAGATAAATAACATAGTTTAAAAAATAAAAGTAAGCTAAAACGCGGGTGCTGGAGCTGTGAGGCTGTGCCCGGCCGTGGGCCAGCGCGGGGCATCTGTATGTAGGTGGCGGGGAGGCAGTGGGCCAGGCGGCAGGCGCTTGCAGAATGACCGCGGCCGCTTAGCTCCGTCTGGCAGACCCTGCAGTGAAGGCTCTGGGACCAGGGCAGCTGCCTCCAAATCCTCAAGGGTGGCCCATGGGAAAGCCAGCCTGGCTAGTCCAGCAGATGCGGAGGTCGGAACGCTGGGGTTCACATCCCCTCTTCCCCACTGACTAGGCATAGCGGTGTTACGCAGCTCCTCCGAGCCCCAGTTTACCCATCTATAAGGAGGGGGTAATAGTAGTCCCTACCCCCCGAGGGTTGGGAGAACAGTGAACAGGATGTCACATCTGAAGTCCTTGGCATAGTACCTGGCACCCACAATGAGGACCCCGAGCGATGGCAGCTGGTCCCAGCTGCTGCTGCAGAATCTGCAGAGGTGGGAGCTCTCGATGGGAAGGCACAGGGGGAAGCACAGTTCCCTGATAGCAAGCCAGGGTCCCCAGGGGCCGTAGGGACAGAGCCTCAGTTTGGTATTTATTTATAGAGTACGCCCCACCCACACCCAAGAATGGACTCATCCCATTGAACACGTGCAAACAACACAGCTGAAGCAGAGGTGAAAAGGAGCCCGAGGCTTTACGGTGAGAGACAAACACGCCGGAACCGGCGGGGGTCTCGCCCCCAGCGGAGGGTGGCATTCACCAGAGATGCCGACGCCCAGAGGGACCTGTTTCCCGGGTGGGTACTGGGAAGCTGCATCTTCATCTCAGCGGGACGCAGCTTCCGCTCACCAAGTTCACGGGGAATTTATCATCCAGATACTTCTATAGAAGGCACGGCATACGTGATGAACTTGGGCTTGCAAAAAAACCTCCCCAGAAACCTTCCTCAAAAGCACACTTCTGCTAACCAGCCCCCAGGAAGGGGGACGGCACGCCTTCATTTTCCAATTTGGGCACTTCTGTGGCAATGCCGAGGCAGTTTTAAAGTGTGTCCTTTCCTGATGACGTCGCTTCCCATAGCCAAAAAGAAAGAAGCAGCTGAGA